TCAAATTTCTCATAAGTAAAAATATCTAAACAAGATTTAACCATAGATTAAATAAAAATTTATGGTCTTAAATTAGGTTATAATTAATCACCTAAAGAATAATCTAAAACCCAAATCAAATTCAATTTCATTATTTTATCCAAAATTCTCATAGTATTTAAAATTAATTCTTCTTATAAAAAATCTGGACCCTCTAAATTTTAGTTTTTTTTAGAATCTCTCTCTTCACCTCCTTGATTATTAATAGGAGGACACATTACTTCATATATTTCACTTCCTTTTTCATTCACATAATTCATTAAATTATTAACTAAATCTTTATAAGTATTTAATTCTTAAACATTAGAAGTTCCAGCTTTAGTTGAACTCTTGAATAGAATATAATCCCTAGGTTTTTCACATTCACTAAATAATTAACACATAATAGGTGCTTTCTTTATCCTTAATGGTTCTTAATCAATATATAAAGTTAATGCTAATCTAGCAAATCCAGGTTATAAATCTATATATTTAGGATCTATAGGATGCTTAAACCAAATATTTCTAAATAAAAATGATTTTTCAAATTAAGCACCAAGTTCATTTTTCCATGAATAATTTCTTCCTAAAGCAACTTCTGAAAAAAAAGTGAGTTATTCAATAATATACATAAATTTATCTCTTGAACTTTTATTTATATCTCTTAAATCACAATCTTAAGGTATGATTAATTAACCAGCTTTAGATGTTAGTCTTACAGTACCATCATTACTTTTACTTTCTTCAGCTTTAGTTTCAACTCCTAATTTAGGTTATTTTGTATTATTTTTTTTATATAACTTAAAAATATTTTCTTAATTAATTTAAATTGGAAATTCTTAATGACTGCAAACATTTCTTAAAAATTTTAAGTAATATGAATTATTTTTAGCTTCATCATCCCATAACAAATTAATAAAATATTCAATTAAAGGAACTGGTTTTTTCATTATTTTTTCATGTTATTTAATTTCAATTTATTCTTCTTTATCATCAAACTAATATAGATTAATTAATATTTTAATTTGTTAATTATCAATTTCATTATCTTCATAAAATTCAATCTTAATATCTTCACTTAATTTATATAATAAATATTTATTATTTGATACAATATTAATGATGGCTTCTATTGCTTTTGGTAAATATTTAGTGTGTAATTAAAAGTATGGTATTAAATCATAAGTATATATTTAATTTTCTTTATTTAATTTACATACAGATCCTAAAAATTAATATATCTAATCAACTAATTCTACCTTAGATTTTACATAATTATAATATTAAGTTTTTAATGTATTTTCAGTCTTTTATTCATGCATCATTAAAGCTTTGTCTTCAAAAATAATGTTACTTTCTATTTCAAATATATTTTTTTATTGTTTATCACCTTTTTCTAAATCAATTTCTAATTTTTAATAAAATTCTAATTCTCCTTTAGTAATTATTCTTTCTAAAATTTTAATAAGGATATCGATATAAAATTATTCTCTCATTAATTTTTATCTATATTAATTAATAGATCCAAATTATTATTCTGCAGATGTAGTATATGATTTATTATTTACAAAATTCTCTAATTCTGCAATACAACTTTTTAATTACTAAAATACTCCAAACCATTTTCTTTTTGAAGAAAAATTATCAATTCCAGGATATTTTGGATCTTAAATTTAAATAACAAATTTAGCTAATCTACGAAAACAAGATTGTAAAAATTAGATTTCCCAAACTTCATTTCTAGTTGCCATATGTATTTTAAATACTGCATGTTCAGTTTTTTCATTAGGAGCTTTTAATATTGGTATATATTCATGATTTTATTTATCATTTTAAAAATCCATCCAATTCTAACTTAATCTATTTTATAGATATGTATAACTTCCTCCTTTTAAATATTTTTAATTTGGTTAAGTTTTTAGATCAACAAAAGTAAAAATTGTAGATTTATCTAATTCTTAAGTTAAACGATATTTATATTATTATTTCTTATTTTATTTGTTATTTTTATCACCTGAAATTTCTGTAACACTTAAATAATATCCAGTAGTAACATTTTTAAGTCTATATCCAGCTTCATATTTAACAAATCCTCCTTAAAGAAACTCCTCTCCTTCAATTTACCATAATCCATTTGTACTTCCTTAATATCCTTAAGCACTTTCTGTTTGAGATTTAGTAATTGCTACATATAAATTTTTAATTGATAGCCATTCAGATAAATGATAAAATGTAAAATTTGCTTTATCTACTGCTTCTTGATATTTTTTAACAGAAAGTGTAGCTTCTGCTTCACTATGATATAACCATATACAATCACCTACTCTTAAATTTCTTGAATTTTCAGAAATATATTATTAATATAATACTATTTTCCATGAATGAGATTAATCAACACTAGCATTTATTTCTTTTTTTTAAATATGTTCAGATCTTGAAGATGCACTACCTTTAATTTCTGAAATTTCTAATTATGAACAATTAATATATGCAAATCTATTAGAGATTGGCATAGCTCTTGTTATTGCACACATTTCACCAGCATTAACATCCTATTCTCCATGACTCTAATACATGTATGCAGGTACTATTTTAAAAACAGTGTAATCACTTGAAAAATCATCTAATTTAACTAAATAATTTTAATTTTCTAATTATGCTTCATTATCATGACATGCTAAAAATCTACCACTTGCAATATGTAATAATTAAAATGGTTAATGGTATGTTAATTTTTAACACCTTGATTTATCAATTGCATCTATATTTTGCTTATACTCATTCATTAATTGACTAAGTTCTTCATTCATCCTTTAATTTGTCATTTTAATCTTATCCTAATTTAAAAATAAGTTAATAATACATCTTTTCCCTCTTTATCACCTTTCTTAATATCAGTTACATTATAATCTTATAATACTCTTGTCTTAACAGTATCGGAAACCCTGGGCAAAACTTAAAATAGACATTTGTAAAAGGAATCATTATCTAGGCCATCAAATGTTTTTCTTCTATATCATTCTTAAATACTTTTTTTATTCTTTATGTACAAAGTTTTTTAAAAATACTTCAGGTTTCAAAAATCCATCTGAAAATAAGAATGCTGTTTAATCAACAAAATCAGATATGGCTATTATTGATCCAAAAGTGACCATCGTTTAGTCTATTTATTCATCTTCATCCATTTTTAATAATTATAAAAATTAATTGTTAAAATAAATTCTTCACAATGAATATATATAAAATTGAATTAAATAGATATTATAATATCACTTAGATCAAGAAATACTTAATTTCTAATTCATAAATTATATTATTTTTTTTTAATTCTGTAACAATAATGACATGAAATAAAATTCAAATTCTTTCTCTTGAAATTCTCAAATTGAATATAAAAAGTTTAACAATACTTATTATTTCATTTTATTTATATGTTTTTCCTTTATGATATTTGTATTGTTCTTAATTATTAAGTATTTAAGAAATTAAATATTTATTTCTAAAACTCTCTCTTAATAATATTAATAGATTATAAAAATTCTTATTTTGAATTTCAAAATGAGGATTTGGATGTTAATATATAGTATCTATTTATGATAGAAATAATAAACTATTAATTTATAATTTTTATATTTTTTGTATTCTTGCTTTTTTTTTGAATATTAAATTTAATTAAGAGTTTCCTTATCATAAGATTCGAAGAATTATATTATGTTTAATGTAAAACTCTTTATTTCATAATTCAGCAGACTTACTAATAGAACATATTAGATTTATAATTTTAATTTGCTTTTTAATTCTATCATCCATTCTATTCTCAATCATTAATCCATTTCTTTGACAATATATATTTATATATTTAAGACATATTAATCTCTCAATGAATGTTTTCTAAGGTTTCTTAATTCATAAAATTAATTAATATTTTTATTTAATAAAAAAGGGATGAAATCTATATATTAAGACATGTTAAATAGGGCTTATAACACTCTATTCCATCCATCCGTGTAATGGTTTAGAATTCTAACTCCAGTGAGCTAACATCTTACAATTTTAGGGTTATAATATTTTCAGATACCCTGCACCAGCTTCAGAGTAAATTAATCATGTCGAACATGATTTCAAAACTCCTTATCGTGACTCAAAATATTATGTTAGACATGATGAACCTGTTATTGAAAGAGTAGCAAAAGTAACATTCACTGATCCTTTGAATGAAACTCCAACAGAAAAGTAATTGATATATATCAATAATTTAATAGATTAGTCAGATTAAAATTACTTACTAAAGATTAAGTTAATAATTAAGAAGCTATATAAGCCGCAACCTAATAATATGAATAAAAATATGGATTACCTTTATCTTAAAAGGGTAAGATATAATTATAATTATATAGTTTATTCTAATTAAGTTGGGGGTGGAGATGCTCTTTAAGACTTTTTCTAAGGTGAAAATATTAGAGAGGTCATGGCTAGTTTTGTTAGATAATAATGGGAAGAAGTGAATGAAAATGCACTTGAAGATTTGAATAATACTAATTTAGATGATGATTATCATCCAAATTTAAATGAGAAGGTTGGATTTAATTTATAAGAAAATGATCCACTTTTTAGATAACTAATTGTTGATTTACATACAGTAGTTAAAAATATTGGGGTATATATATTACTTTTCTTATAGGAAAAAACAAAATAAGAGGGTCATTTAACATTTTTCAGAGGAGATCCCAATTATTGGCATGTACTTGATAACAGTTTCCCAGTTGAATCTATAAGATTAATATAAAATACTTTGGGTGATGAAATCTCATAATTAGGTATAAAAATGAGATTTAATTTATAGATCCAAAAGCATTATAAAAATAATAGAATAGAGAAGATTATCACATTGAACATAAGGTTTAAGTACCCATAGAAAATAAATATTATTCATGAAATGAAAAATAAAATAAAATATTTATTCAGTATAATCAATATTTACATCATTGAATAGCACAGGAACAAGAACATTTTTTCTTCTATTCTTAATATTATAATCGTTCAACAATATAAATGTCTTATATTGGTATACCTTCAATTTAATCTCTAAATGTAACAGCTTTAGCTGAAACTCCTTTGAGAATAGGATAATTAAATTTATCAAATCTTTTAGTTTTTTTTTTTGTTTCTTGTTACAACACCCTATCTTGGTTCATTTTTATTAATTTTATTAAAAATGACATTATAATATCAATTAGTAAATTATTAATTGAATTTATAAATAATAAATCAGAGAAGAGAAAGCATTAACTCTTTAAATTAGGTAAATGTCATCTATTGTTTAATGAAATAATTACATTATTATTTTAATCTTTAGATGTCTTATCAAAGTTGAATTTCACACAATTATAATCTAATGAACATATATTTAGAATTTCATCTATACTAATCTTCCCACTATGATTTTTATCTATCATTTTAAAAGTTACTAATAAATGTTAATTTGTTAATAGTGAAGCTTTATCTACTGCTGCAATAATAAATTCATGAAAGTCTAAAAACCCATTTTTATCAAAATCAACTTTTTTAAACAATTCAATTATTTCTTCATAATTTTATCCAGGGTAAAGTGATCGATATGCTTCTTATAATTCATCAAAACTAATTTTTTAGTCTCTATTAGTATCAAATGTATTAAAAATAGATGCAAAAAATAGTTTTTATTGTGAATTGAAATGATTAACCATCAATAATAAAATACATGCTTAAACATTATTGATATTTTTTAACTTTTTAACATTTCTCATCTATTAAAATGCTTCTACAGTTTTTTATGAATTATTAATCTATTTTATCCAAGTTGATTCTAGAGCTTGTTAAATAGAAATTCTTTATTTAGATTCATATGTTAATAATTTTCTAATAAAGCTTTTACAATTATCACTAAATCTTTCAAAATCTATACAATCCAATCTCATACCTCCACGTATAATATTTTTAGTAATTTATTATATAGTTAATTGTGTACCACTCTTTTATGGATGATAATTAGTTAATAATTAATATCCTATCATTCCAATTGCCCAAATATCACATTATTTTTACTTTTATCTTGTTTTACAGAATTCTGGAGAATAATAATATACTTATTCCCCTTCTTTATGATAAACAGTTTTTGAAAATAAGGGCTCAATGTCAACAAGTTTCAATACTGGATTCTGAGATTCATCAGAAAACATAAATGATTCTAACTAAAGTTCTCCATGATATAAATGTTAACTATGTAAATATTCAAAAAGAGTCAGCATTTAATACATAATTTGTATACCTTTCTATTCTGAAACTGATCCGTTTTCTCTTAAATAAGCTGATAATGTATTTCCACTGCAATAATCCTCTATCAGATAATAATTTTTAGGATCACTATAGATTTCATATATTTCTGGCAAGTTTATGTGTTCCTAATTCAAAATTATATTTTACTAATTTCTTTTTCTAGAGATACTCCACTATTGCTGGTTTTGTAAGGCAGTCCCAATTTAGTTATCTAATGTATCTTACAGACTATGTAAGATTATGGCTAACTATACAATAATTAATAAGTGAGTCTAAGCTAATTAAATCTTTTACTTTAACATCCTTTAAACCTAGAATCAATAAGTGTGTAATTTTTAAAAACACTGCCATCTTGTTCGTTAATTTTCAAATCTAAATTACTACCTAATTATTCCCTTTCAAGACTCTTAGAAACTTGCAAATTAAAGCTGTATTTGCTAGTATTTAGGTTATTTTCTTAGGTTTTTACTCTTATTTCTGCTGCTTATTTTTTACTTTGACTAATCTTCTTTTTTAAAGAATCTTTAAAAGAAGTACCTTTTTTATCTTGTTTTGAAAACAAACAACCCATTTATACTTTATATTTTCCAAGATAAAAAAAATTATAAATAAAATAAATGATTTTTGATAATTAAAAAGATTCCACTTGATTTTAAATGTTCAATTCATAATTATTATAACATTAAATGATTAAATAAAGATTTTCTTAGATTTTTTAATTGAACTTAAAGATATGGAATGAAATTAATCAATTTTTGTTAATATTATTTATTTTACATAGATTTTAATTTCATATTAATAAAAAAAGATATATAAACTTATTAAAAACATAATAAATTAACATATCATAAGTCTTATTTTTATGAATTCTATTGGAGTCCTAGGAATGATTATGTAAAATTAATGATTCCATCTTTTGTAATTTCACTCAATAAATTAAAAGTCTCAGAGATTGGATTGAATGCCACAATCTAAGGGAGATAATCTATAAAGTAAGTATCCATTTTTACCATTCTAAATTCCAAAATATTACATCAGTCTCAACCCATATTTGTTATCTGTATTGGCTATGCAAATAAGAATTTCATCTTTTATTTTTGATAAAGCTAATCTTAATTGTTTTTCTGCTTAATTTGTTTAAGAATTTTATACTAAAAATAATGTTGGTTAATCCCCTTTAAATATTCTTTTTGCTGTCTATAAACTTAAATTCTTATTTCTTACTTAAATGTCAAAATTCATTAAAACAGGATATGAATGTTTCTTAATAAATTATTCTATATAAGAAATCTCAAAATTATCAAAAATTGCAGCCTTTCTTTCATCATAAGGTTTATAAATAACAATGCTTGGCACCTAAGCTCTCATTTCATTAGCAAAGTTTTAATTAAATGTATGCATAGCTGAGATATGTTTATTTTTTCTAATAACATAAATATAGTGATTACGATGAGAATTAAAAGTATTACATAAATTCATAAGATTCTTTCTATTCACCAAAGAATACCATAACTAAATTTGGAGATTCTGAAAACTTCTTTAATTAATCTAAAGACTTGGCTTCAATAGAACCTTTATCTAATAAATACTCATTAAATAAAAAATTACTTGTTTTCTTTTTCATCCAATCAACAATAGCTTTTTCTGTTCTATCACCTTGATATTCCATTAATAATTATCCATCACCAAATAATTTTAAGGTTGGGAATCCAGTTACTTAATATTTTCTACACAAATGTTCATATGAAGGACAATTGATCTTAAATTAATTAAGTATATTACTTTAGCAAATTAAACATTCTGATTTCTAACTTATCTTGCACTTGAAGCAAATACTGGAGCTAAATGATGACTAAATATTATTTATCATTAATACCAATGTCCACACCAATGAGCATAGAAATCTATTAATACAAATTCATATTTCTTCAGAACATATTCAAAATTTTAATCGTTCAATATTAAAACTCCATTCTCCTCTGGTACTTATTAACCTAGGACTATAGATAAAAAAAGAAGTGTTAGTAACAATTTCATTAGAAAATTCTAGATTATTTATATTAATGATGTGTATATTAGAATTTTCATAAATATTATCATAGATTATTAATATAATTCATTAGATATTAAGACTAGATCAATATATTTTTAATTTAAGAACTATAATTATAATATATAATGTTTCCTGGAAATTAAAATTAAATTTGCAACTAGCAATTTTATTTATGAAAAATCAAGAAAAATTAATAATGTAGAATCAAATTTCATTTTTTTAGTTAAAATATTTAGAAATTTGTTTTAATCACTTAAATGACATTTTATTTATATAATAAAAAAAGTTAAAATTATTTATATATATATAAATAAAGAATAGAAAATAAATTTATATCTGTAAATGAACTAATAATTTATATAGTCTTATTATTAGTATTTAAGAATTAGATTGATTATTATTATATTCTATATTTGAATATTAATATGTTTTTCAATTTTATTGTTTCTCAAAAATAATAATCAAAATTGAAATAAATTTATTAGTTGCAGAATAAATTCTTTAATTTATTTATTTTTCTCTTTCATTTTATTTAATTTTAATTTATATAATAAGAATAAATAAAAATTTAATAAAATTTAGTATTACTATAAAAAACGCAATATTTCTTTAAAAACGAATAAATTTTGCTTAGTTCCTGATTCATAATGGAGATATCAAATGATATTTTTTATTAATATTATTAATGAAGACCATCATTTTCGCTTTAGCACTAATTGTGTTAGCTTCATCAACATAAGCTGATGTCATTGCTACAATTAAAAAGATTGATCAATCACCATTCGGCAGAACATTGTTTGATACAATCTGGTTAGAACTCTAAACAGGAGACCCATTAGATAGATTATTATCTACATTGACAGACTTAGAAGATAGATATGTAGCTGAATAAAAAGAAGATGATGCTAAAAATTAAGAGTACTAAGGTGCTTGCACAGTTGTAAGAACATAAGTCTATATTTTAGGATATCTCTGCTTTCGATAAGGATTTGGCTGAATCTAACAGAAAGAAGATTGAACTTGAAGCAAGATTAGAAGGATAATTATACCCATAAAGATCAATCTTGGAAGGATTAGTAGCTTAAAAGACAGCTGAAGTCAAGGGATACTAAAAGGATTTGGATGAACTTGATGCTTAAAGAGCTGAAGAACATGAAGATTTCGAAGAGAAAGTCTTAGAACACTAAGAAGCAACAGCTATCATTGCTGAAGCTAGAAGACTCTTTGCTGATAACATCGAACATGAATCCTTCATTTAAAAAGGAAAAGCTACAAAATAACCACACAAATTCACCAAGGATGTTGCTAACATGATCTAAAAGCATTTCACTACATCTGCCAAGAAGACTGCTAAATTCTAACACAGAAAGGGATATAGCAAATTATTCAAAGCCTTTGCTACAATTGCCTCAAAAGTTGAATAATTAGCTGATGCTGGTGCCGTCTAAAAGATCATTGATTTAGCTGATGAATTATTGGCTAAAATTGCTGATTCTTTATCTTTGTTGAGATTTGCTGAAGACAAGAGAGTTGAAGCATATAAGAAATCAAGAAACTTCATCGTAATCTCTTTGAATGTTGCTGGTACCGCCCTTGCTAATGCCATTTCTGACTTAGCATCTTTGAATGATATCATTGCTTAAGTTGAAGCCTCACTTGATACAACTGAATAAAGAATTGAAAACGTTTCAGCCGATAGACATGATAGATTCACTTAATGTGAAGAAGCTGTTTAAGATTACTAAGATGCCAGATCTGCCAGAACCTCTGATAGAGATGTTGTTTCATAAACCATCGGATTAGTCAACAAGGAATTGAGAACCTTGAGAGAATAATTGGCTATGAGACAATAAGCTGGAGAAGAAATTTGATATTTATGATATATACAGCATTTAAAAATAATGATAAACATTTTCTTATATTTATTGCGAATAAATTATGTAAAAGTAATTATTACGGTTTACAAGTTCAAATAAATTGTAATATAAATAAATTGTAAAATGTAATAACTAGACAATTAAGAAATATTGATGAAACTTAAGTCTTCAAAATAATTTTGGGATATTAAAAAGAAAGTATTTAATTATCTATCTAGATTAAATAAGGCTTTAGTGATTAATAGAAGATTGGAGTGAATGATATTCAAAAATTTGCTTAGAGTTGTGAAATTGAAGATCAGTTAATTAAATTGATATCTCATATTCTTAAAAAATCTAAGAAAAGAGAAACTCTTAAGGAGGATTAAATTGAATTTCTAAACACTTCAAAAATAAAATGGACAGAATTGTTATTTAAAAATTTAGACATTGTTCATTAAAAAACAAAAAATTAAGAAGAAGATGATACTAATACTGATTCTAAATTATACATATATGATGAAAAGAACCTATTGGCATTTTTATAAACTTTTAAATAATAATAATCTAACAATCTATACTAAAATGTTCAATTTTAATCAAATAAAATTTTGAATATTAATATACCTTTAAAGTCATCATAATCTATATTAGACAAATATTAATACTTATTATTATAAGAAGAATTGTCGGATGAAAAAATAAATAAAATTAGAAAGTAAATTGAAAATGAACATTTAGATATTGAATTAGAAAAAATAGCTTAAACCTTTGTACCTAATGGAGAAAGATGTCTTTTATATTTAAAATATTTTGAATTTGATCACTAAGATACTGTCTTATAATAACATTTCGTAAAACTTTAAAAAGAATGCTTAAATCAATTATTTTATGATGAATTACTCGAAATAGATGGACATGAAATATCTGAAGATACATTTTATTTTGTATTTTAAGAGTAAATTCTTACTTGTTTAAAATGTTTTATTAGAGATAGAACAATTAAAGAGAATATAAGAGTATTTATATTAATTAATAATTAGATATAATTATAAAGTGGAATAAAGAAAGAACATGCAGAGTTTTAATTGCCAATCACAGGATTCTTTCCATTCAAAAATATTTCAAAATATGTTGCACCATTATGTTACCTATCTACAAAAATACATATAATTTATGCATTATTTAAAGAATTTTTTTGTAGATATTTTTGCTTTTTACATGCTATTTCATCAGAAAGTAATTCAATTTTATCTTTATGCATGTAAATTGAAGAAATTGTTAGTACTCGATCTCCTAAATTATTTCATCATTTAAAGGTAATTGGATGTGATACATTAAAATTGATAATACATCAATTAGTTTATTGTTTCATAGGTGATATGGATCCACCACATATTTTAACTATTTATGATTAAATAATAGGACATGATAGTTTAGAAATTTTAGTAATATTATGTGTTGGTTTTTTAAACAAATATAAATCTAAATTATTGTTAGCTAAAAATTAAGAAAATGTATAATAAATTTTTTCAGAATTAAGAGAAGATAGATTTTAAGAATTAGTGCAATATGCATATAAATAATGAATTCTATTAACCTAAATTAGTTATAACATTTTTTATATTATTTAAACAAAAAAGTTGTTTAATAAATAACTCATTTTCAAGTTTTTTTCTATCCCCCTTATAAAACCCTAATTGCCTTCTATATTTCTTCATCTTAATGTTAGGCTAATTCAGTAAGAGAACCTCCTTAGGATCTTTAATTTTATTTCATTTTTTTTTACTCTTCATCAACAGCCAATACTATATAGATTCCAAGAAAAGGTACCTGCTTTATGATTTCTTTAATATAATTGCTAAATTGATTTTTTCTAATTTTGAAATAGATATTCATCTCTTTTTTATTATAATAATGGATCTATTTAATAATTTTATGGTGATAATTCTAATTGAAGTCCTTATTTTTAATAATTGGCTTTGATGGATTAATCAACTTTTACTTGTCGTTATTCCTATTATTATTCATGTAGTAATTATTATGTATTATATTGTTAAATTGATGGATTGAAATCATTGAAAGATTTAATCTATTTGAGTGATTAAATATGCATATCATTTGAAGGATAATCTTAATTCTATTCTTAAGGTTTTTTCTTTTTATTGTTTAACTGATCTTTAATTGATTAAGGTTTTTATAGTATTTTACCAACTTCTAAACATAATCGATCTATTTCACTTGCAAAGTGATGAACCGATCCTACAGTATTTTCTTCTTTGTGTTAATCCTATTTTTAAGGAATTTAAGGATCAAGAATCTGTGCTGGATCTCCATAAATTGTTTTTGGTGGATCTAGACCTCTTTTTGTGTAATATTCTAATGGGTTTCTTCTTAATGTTTAAGTTTTATTAGGAGTATCTAATTCTTAATATATGGTTGAATAAGAGGAATAAGTTTGATATTTAGCAAAATGATTAAGGTCTTCAGCCATTTATTTTAATTAAATTAATGAACTAAGATTAAATGAGATATAGTAAACATAATTTAAGGATCTAAATATTTACAATCATATCCATTTGGTTATCTTCTATAAAATACTTAGAGTAAATCACCTTATTATCAAAACTACAATCTTCAATTACCAAGTAATAATTATAAAATCAATGGTAGAATATTAATAAATAAATTGAGATACATATAACAATACAATATAAATAGATTTTGAAAAGTTAATTATTAATTTTTATAAAATTGATGATCCTAAAATAACATAAAAATAATGAAACTACCCTAAAACCAAAATAAAATGTTTTGGATTTACTATAAACACAGCAAAATATAAATTAAGAATACATAATATAAATTTAATAATTTTTAATATCCTTTTTTTTTCACTCTAAAACTATCTACATTCTGAAAATATAAAGATTATTAATTATATTATTGATTCTTATGTTATTTTTCTCTTGATTTATCAAACCTTTTATATTTTCATAATTACATATATATAGTTTATTCTTATAAAAATAATGAACCATTCTTAAAAAGAGAGTGTTTATCAATAAAATTTAATTTTAAAGAATAAGTATATAAACTATATAACTAAAAGATTATTGGTTTATATATAGATTTGTTTTTTTTAAGTAATTATTAGAGTATTGTGCAGGATAATTTTTATTATAAAATATTTTGTTATAAATGTTCTAAGCAGAAAAAGGAGCTAATGCAATTCCTGGATATACAGGGTATGAGAATGATTTAATGTAGATTTACTCAAACATAGAATTTTGATGCAGATTTATTGTAGATTTAAGGCAATAGAAATCATATTCCAAGTTATATTCATTATGTAACTGTATTTAGATTATGCTGGATTTGTGCCAGGTATAAAAGCTGAAAATCTGTTTGGAAAAACTTTTGGGAAAATCACACTTTTATCTGGTACAAGATAAAATCATTAAGGGTAATTAAATTGAGAGATGATTGAATCTAGATCTAATTTACCAGCAGATCTCAGATATAGAAGTGAAGTCAAGGAAGCTTATTGTGATCAAAATCAATAAAGAAATAAAGATAAATTACTCTATGGAAAACTTGATTCTGAAACTTCTGTAATTGATATTCCATCTATATTAGAAAGCTCTTGCTTATTCCTTATCAAATTTAACTAGTACTTAGATACCAAAGACAACAAAAGCAAGAGGTATTTTTAAGTTATTATTATCTAGTCGATACAAAAGAGAGAGTGAGTAATATGAGTTATTAAGAAGCACTAAAATAAGCTGGAAAATGATTATATTAATTATGAGGATTTATAAATAATCACACAATTATTTGTTTTCAAATCAAATACATTATAATTATGAAGTCATTAATAAAAATAATTTAATGAGTGAAAACTATAATTTTTCTGATTTCGTCAAATTTAGAAAGGGTAGTACTTTTGGCATAGGAAAGATAGAGAATTTTAGTCGTGAAGAAGATTGGTTCGAATATTTCGAATACATCTTAAGCGAAGAATTACCAACAGGTTGGTTTATTTATTGTATTTTATATTGTATTTAAATATTACACAACACACATTTTCCAATAATCCTTATTATTGTGTTTTTCTTTTTTATTAATTTTTATTAGGTAAGCAACCACATCATGGATTGTATGAAGTGTTTAAAACAGATTAATTAAAGAAAGGGAAAATGACAGATATTATTGAAAAAGTCCAATTAAGTAAACTCCCAGAATATGTTCAAATGACAGAAAAGAAAGGATATGTGATGAGACAATAGTTTATTTCGAAAGATTTAATGCCTCTTTTAAAATAGTGTTTTTGTGGCTAATATGTAAATCCAGATTAGGTACTTGTGCTTTGTACTTCATGTGAAAAGCCTTTTCATGCTGAATGTCTAATAAAATAATTTGATCAAGGAAATGCTAATTGTGATTCTTGTAGAGAAATGTTCTCTAATCACTAAATTACTGAACGTATTAAAGATGCATTGTAGACCAGATCATCTACTATTGTCATTTAAACAAATTAATAAAAAACACATGAATAAAGAGCTATTTAAATTGAAGAAGAGGAAGAAGAAGAATAATTAGATAGAAATGAAAGAAGAATAGATTTAGAGAAAATTGTTAAAAAAATCAAAACAAAAGATGGTCAAATTTAATCTAAAGTATAAATAGTAAAATAAGATTCAAATACAAATGGAAATTCTAGAGAAAAGAATTATACACATGATATTACTATTCCATAAGCTAATCCACCTGAATAATAGAAACAATAATCTTAACCATTTAAAAATATATCACCTTAAGCTGTTGAAAAAATGAAAAGTTGGGTTGAGAGATATAGATAAATGGAATCAAATGCATCAAGTTTTGATAAGAAAAGATAAGAAGTAAGAGAAAAATTCTTTTCAGTTATTTTTTATGGTGTAGAAGAATTAAAAGATATGTATGAAAAAGATCCTAATTCTATTACATAATTAGAAAAAGATATTATTAGTAATCCAGACACTGTCTTATTTTAATATATTAAAAATTTGGCATTAGACATAGAAGTTTATACACATATTAAATTTAATACATAATATAAAACAAAATTAGAACCTTTATATGTTGATAGATGCAAACTAATATATTTACATATGAAAGATGATAAAAATTTAGAATTGAGAAGAAAAGTTATTTCTAAAGAATTTTAAGCTTAAGATTTAAGTACTAGAGATGAAAGAGATCTATATAATCCTGAAAAAAGAAAATAAACTTAAGAAATAGCTATGAGAGTAATTGAACTTAATTAAAAAGATAAGGATGAAGAATAAAAAATTATTAAAGATATTGAAGAAGTATCATTTTCTAGAAATGTAAATATTTATTAATTATAAATATAGTAATCAATTAATGAAGAGGTTTAAATAATTACTTAAAAGAAGGATGGACATTCAACTAAAAATCTTTTAAAAGAAAAAATGATGGAATATTCAGTTGAAAAGTCCATAATAAGATTTAAAAAAAGAATTGCAGATGAACTTAATGATAAGGAACGTTTATAAATATTAGCCAGTTTAGAATAGTATCAACTACATTAATGAAAATTCAAATATTATTTGTTTTATATAAATCATAATTTAAAATATAGAAAGTTATCATTTTTCTAGAAAATTTTGTTAAAAATGATAAAATTAAATTCAATTATCTTTATAATATTCTAACCATTTAAATTATGTTTTCATAGATGTTTCAAAAGCAATCCTTATTAAACTTTCTATTGCTTTTTCTTTTGCAGTCACTTCACATTATTATAAATTTTTTATAGATCTACGACTTTTTATAAAATTCACAACCCACTTCTTGAAATATTTAATTTTTCTTTTCTTTTAAATAATATCATATTTAAGTTAGACTATTTAAAAATCTTATTTTAACTTTTAATCTGAAAGTGATTACCATAATACATTTAAATTTTCATTATTTAATTAATATTTCCAAGCATAAAATGCTTTTTTTTAAACATTTTTATTATATATTTCTATTGCCATATCTTCTATTTATTATCTTTATTATTTTAATGTAATTATCTTTAATTAATCTTGTAATTTTTATTATTTATTAGTTAATTAATTATATCTGAAACCTTCAAGACCTTTCCTTTTTAATAAAAACTGATAAAATGGATGATATTCTTTATCATTTTTCCAAAATTTAAAAACTTTTTACATTTTTCTTAATTACATAATTTAAATAAATTCTTTTTATCTATGTCTTTGAAGAAATGCTATTTTCCATTTGATAAATACTTTTTACATTAAATTGGGACATAATTTTAAATCTTCTTTAAGTTCAAAAATGATAACCTTAATTTTCCTTGCTTAAACTTCTCTTTCATCAATAGTATATATATCATTTAAACAATAAGGTCCTTCATACATATTTTTTGGTTTTTCATCTGTTAAAAATTAAGATAATACTTGATTATCATCTACTTCATCATCATTCTCTTTTTGATTTTCAACAATTTAAGCTTTTTCTCTTTATTCTTTCTCTATTTATAGTTTTCTTTTCTCTTATTAAATAATTTATTAAGTATTTTATTACCATGAGTGCAGTGATTATCTTAAGATAATATTTTTTATAGATTTTGCTGCTATTCTTTATCGAACTAAACATTATTGAAATATTCTCCAATTTTAAAAAATTCTATTCAATGTTTGCACTCTCATATGATCACAAACTAATTCATAGAATTCATTTTTTGATTTATTTCTTTAAGAGTATAAATATAGCTTTTAAAAACATTTTTTTTTGTTTATCATTTATCTTATTTAAATTGTATCATTCAGTATCTTTTAAATTGCACTTTTGTATTTAACTCTCAAAAACATATATCTTAAAAACAATTTTTTTGTTATTCGTTTTTATTCTAATAGTAACATATTCTTCTTTCTTTCATATAAGGCTTCACTTAATAATTCTCTTTTTATTTCATTTGCCCTAATACATAATTCTCTAATAGGATGAATATAATTCAAGCATAATATTATACTGTATATTTTTAATTATTATAAGAGTTGAATGCTAAGAATTGTGAAATCTTGACAATTATTATTATTCTATTATTTTATTGACTGATTGAAATAATTTATATTCTTCATATTCTCAATTATAGATAAAATATTGATATTTTAAGTTCTTAAATTGGCTAATTCCTCTTCAGGCCAAAATATACATAGATTTAAGTTTATTTTCAATTCTTATTCTAATTTTTTTTCAATTTTAACAGGTATCCAAGAAGGTTAATTTTCTAATTCAAATTCTAATTTTTTTATTATTAATTTTGGTTGTTATTGCCTTACAATACCTGTCCTTTTTTAATATCCTTATTCAGTTGGTATTGTTCTAATTTTTTCTAAATCTTACTATTACTCATCAGCAAATTTAACTTAATGTTATTATTCATCCATTTCATCTGGTTCAATTAACATTTATAACTTTTAAATTTCTGGTGTTGAACATGTAAATTATTTTGTAGATACATCTTCAACTTTAGGTTTTGTTTTTTTTACAGTTGTAAGCTTTTAACAAAAAAAATCAATTTCTTTTAGTAGCATTGATTATTATGAAAACTCTTCTTATTAAATTAGAGGAGCATGAAGAGGTTTAGGTCTCTATAATACCATCATTGTCTCTTCCATTTACTTTAAAATATCTCTTTATGGTTAAAAATTTGGAGTCACATCACTTTCCACTTTAATCATGAATACTTATTAACTGAAAAATAATTAATTTGAATTAATTATTTACTAAATGAGAAAAAAATAAATAAATGAATTTAAGAAGATAATCTGAAATGTGTTCATTTATAATATTCTATAGTATTTAAGTAAAATAATATTTTTCTCAATATATACATCTATTTCAGTTTTAATTCTTATTTTAAAATATGAATTGATTCATTTTTTGAGTATTATAGGATTGAATGTTATTTTTCATATAAGCTCATGATTATAGGGAGTGAAATACAAATATACTTGTAAAGATTGAGCAAAATAAAGAATATAGTATATAATTCTAAAAAATAATAGTTAAAAATTATCTGTTATTTATATATAAGTATTTGCATCTAATTTGTGGAAATTCAAATCTTTTTAATAATTAATGGCATTTGTTAAGCTTGTTAAAGGAAAACCATATTTCAAAAGATTCTAAACTCAATTCAGAAGAAGAAGAGAAGGAAAGACTGATTATTATGCAAGAAGCAGAATGATCGTATAAGACAAGGATAAATATAACTCACCAAAATACAGATTTGTTGTTAGACACACAAACACAAAGATCATTTGCTAAGTGATCTATGCTACCTTAAAGGGAGATAAGGTTGTGGCTGCTGCTGAATCTACTGAATTAAAGAGATTTGGTTTAACAAGTGGTTTAACCAATTATGCTGCTTCATATGCCACAGGATTATTATTAGCCAGAAGAACACTTAAGGCATTGAAGATGGATAAATTCTATGAAGGAAATAAAACTATTGATGGAAACTTATATGATGTTGCTGATAAGGAAAACCCAGAAAGAAGACCATTCTTTGCTGTTCTTGATATTGGTTTGGTTAGATCAACTCTTGGTAATAGAGTATTTGCTGCCTTAAAGGGAGCTGCTGATGGTGGAATTCACATCCCACACAATAACAGAAGATTCCCAGGATTCTCTGTTGATAATGATAAGAAAGAAAAATATGATGCCAATGTTCACAAGGATAGAATCTTTGGTGTTCATGTAGATAAATACATGGCTCTTTTATAAAAGGAGAAGAAGACAAACAAAGATGGAAGATCTAAGTTTGATGTCTAATTCCATAATTGGGAATAAACCTTAAAGACTGTATTTAATTATATAATATAAATAGGCTGGTGTCAAATCTGTCTAAGAATTATTCAAGAAGATTCACGATGAAATCAGAAAGAACTGTGATAGAGTAAAGAGAGGTGTTAAATAAAATCCAAAGAGAGATCACACCAAATTCAGAGCAAAGAGATTAAATGCTAAATAAAGAAGAGCTAATGCTTTAAAGAAGATCGATATTGCCACCAAATAAGCTGCAAAATTAAAGAAGAAGGCATGATTTCATTTATATTTGGTACATTATAAAAATATCCCAATTTTAATTTTTCTATTTTCTTAATCTATAAAATTTTTTTAGTTATTTGTTGCTAAAGTTGACATTGTTTTAATTTAAAAATTAAATGGCTTTTATCATTATAATTATAGAGCAATACAACTTTAATAATTATTTAAAGAAATATTTTTGTTTTTTATTTCAATTAATTTTCAAGAATAATAATAATATAATATATGTCAACTTAGTATAGAATACCATCTAACGATAATTATATTAGAGACTTAGAAAACATTTCTCAAAGGTAATATTGAATCTATAGTGAAAAGAGAACGTCATGGATTGTTTAATCAGCCTCCTCCTTTATTATTAGGTGATTAATATAACGACGCATTAAAAAGTAAACAATTACTTATATAAATTTAGGTTAAGGCAAAGAGAAAGGTATATTGGTCAATAAAAAATTATAAAAAAAGCATGAACCTACATTATTTTTGGAGCCTGGATATACAACATTAAATGATCCTTACAAAGATTAATTTAAAGCCAAATAAATTTATGATAAAGAAAGAGAATTAGCAATTAAAAACCCAAATTGTTTCAAGCCCAATGATCACATTAAATCAATGTAAATTTATTCAATCATACTCAAAGTAAACATTCTGAATTCGAACACATGAAAGAATTTAATGATAAAGTATATAATACAAGAACTCCAAAAGGAGATGTTAGAACTTAAGCTAGAAATTTCTTAACTAATCCTGCCAAAAAAGGATTAGGCAGAACAACCACCAATAATTTATTTGGATAAATTGAATATATACCTGATCCATACGATAGACAAGAAGAATTAGATAGATAGGAGAGGATTAAGCACAAGAGCAAGTTTTTACCTGGAACAACTAGATTTATTACAACAAGTCATGGTTATCGACCATTTACTGCTGATGGAATATTACTTGATGGAGCAGGATATTTATCTTGTAATACTTTATTCTAATTAATAATTAGAAAAAAAAAGACCTCTATACAAAGGTGCTCCTTTTAGACCTGCTAATTAAAATAAAAAAGGATTTTAAGGGACATTTGAAGTGCTTTAATATATGGAAGAAGGTGTTCCAGATCCTAAAACTAAATAAAATACCTTTTAAAAATTAAGTGCAACATAAACTTTTGAAAATCCTTGGAGACCAAATTCAAATGGAACTTTTGCACGTCCATGTCCTAGTGTTTCTTAGCAAATAAGACATAGAAGTGTAGGATCAAATTAAAAATAGTGAAAATAAAGAATACAATAATTGCATTTATTTGAATGTTTAAAATTTTAGACTTAATTAATGCAATTCTCAATAAGTATTCTGTTAAACAATATATAATCATTTTCCTTCTCTTTGTTCTATTTATGCATAATTACGATAAATCCTCATCATAAAAAATAAAATTTACTCATATAGTTTTTGTGAGTCAAATTAATCAATGTCACAAAACTGAATTTCTCCTCCTTTCAGATATTCAAAAGGTAATCCAAGTAGAACACATTTCTTTGAAAAAATAATTGCTTAAGGAATGTAATATTGTTAAGGAAACTATTTAGAAAAAAAGTAATCTTGCAATTATTTTTAGGATTAATAGAAATCATACAATTTGTCATCAAACATTTTTTGATTTTCACTTTTAATATTTAAATTTCCAACTTTGTATTATCTCTATTCTAAAATTCCAAATTGATCATAAATTGTTAAATGCTCAGTTTTAGACTGTTGCAATTCTTTAATAACCAAATCAATGATTGGAATTACATTTTTGTGTTTTGGTTATTGAAATCCCAATAAAAGATGAAGAGGCTGTTTCTATAATCCTTGCATTAATTTTAAAATGTAATAAAAACAAAAATTTCATTTATTCAAAATATTTCCAAATAACGTGTTTTCATCTAATTATTAGTTAAAAAAATAATTATTAAGTGAAAAGAGTTGTATATATTAGAATTAGGACAAGTTGACATTCTCTTATTCTATTAATTATTCTTATTTCTCATAAAAATATTTGATATAAGAATACTTCAGTTTAGATGAATACCACAATTACAATGTTTAGAGTAGGTTATTAGATAAATCATAAGATATAATTATTAGAATTTATTTTAAACAAAATTATTGTTGAAAATACTATAATTCAGATTTCCAGAATAATATGAATGGTTTACAATATTAGACTTAATAATTCAATATGTTAAATGATGCACATAAGTATAACCTCATGATTTTGATAATTGAAATCTTTTAACAAAGTTTTAGTTAAACTCATCAAATTACTTTTCATTGAATTTTTCTCTATATAGTAATCTTGTAAAAATAGATTGAGGTAAATCGTATTTTAAGGATTTATTGAATTCAACATGTTAACCATAAGCCATCACAGTAAAGGAAGCATAACAAGTTGCCACTACGTAATATTTGTAAAATACAAATAACTTTTGGAATTGATTTACTAAAGTACCAAGTTAATAATGCTGCATTAGAAACAACTAAAAAGAATGTTTCATGGAGATATTACTATGGTAATAATTCCTTACGAGCATAAAAATAATTAGACATTTGTATCTGAAATAATTTTCTTGCAAAATAGGGTTATTCCTTTGTAAGACTTTTTTAAAATCTAGGTTCCTCCATTTGTTTAATTTTTTAATATTTTATTAAATATTATTATAAACTAAAACAATTAATGAGCTTCATCGTTATTGAAATTCTAATTTTCTAAGATAATTACATTAAATTCCTTAATCACAGGTTATCAAAAATTACTAATGAATAAGTAACTTGATTATATTCTATTTTTGAGATAAAATAATATTTGATATCAGATATCTTTATCATAAATATAGAGTTGAATGATTACTGAATTAGGTTATTGCATATTCATTATGTAAAAGTATCAATTTCTTTTAATATTTATTAGGTAAAAAGTTTGGTTTATCATTTAACCCAAACTTAATTGATACTACTCTGAACATCAATTTCATATCATTTGATAATAAACAATTTTTTTTAATTATGCTATGCAATTTAATTTCACTTATCTTCTTTTAAATACTTTATAAATACTGAATCTAATATACTTATTAGATTTATTGTATAAGTCTTTGAATGTTAAGATTAGGTCAAACCTAATTAATTTAATATATATTTTATTTCACAAGTCCCTAAACTTTTTCATCTTATCCTTGTTCTTTTTTTTTAATAATATTATTAATAATAATTATGAATTGAAAAAAGGGATCGTAAATACATTTTATTATGATATTATTTAAACAAAATTTTATTAATAATATTTTTGTTTATAATTTGATTAATTCATTCTAATTAATAATGGACATAATTTTTAACTAATTATCAAGTCCATGAATATTTAATATTAATAACCTACATTTATTATCTTTAGTAAATGTAAAATTAAGTTATAAATCTTATTAGCTACTAATTAAAATTATAGATAACTGTTTANAATCTTTTAACAAAGTTTTAGTTAAACTCATCAAATTACTTTTCATTGAATTTTTCTCTATATAGTAATCTTGTAAAAATAGATTGAGGTAAATCGTATTTTAAGGATTTATTGAATTCAACATGTTAACCATAAGCCATCACAGTAAAGGAAGCATAACAAGTTGCCACTACGTAATATTTGTAAAATACAAATAACTTTTGGAATTGATTTACTAAAGTACCAAGTTAATAATGCTGCATTAGAAACAACTAAAAAGAATGTTTCATGGAGATATTACTATGGTAATAATTCCTTACGAGCATAAAAATAATTAGACATTTGTATCTGAAATAATTTTCTTGCAAAATAGGGTTATTCCTTTGTAAGACTTTTTTAAAATCTAGGTTCCTCCATTTGTTTAATTTTTTAATATTTTATTAAATATTATTATAAACTAAAACAATTAATGAGCTTCATCGTTATTGAAATTCTAATTTTCTAAGATAATTACATTAAATTCCTTAATCACAGGTTATCAAAAATTACTAATGAATAAGTAACTTGATTATATTCTATTTTTGAGATAAAATAATATTTGATATCAGATATCTTTATCATAAATATAGAGTTGAATGATTACTGAATTAGGTTATTGCATATTCATTATGTAAAAGTATCAATTTCTTTTAATATTTATTAGGTAAAAAGTTTGGTTTATCATTTAACCCAAACTTAATTGATACTACTCTGAACATCAATTTCATATCATTTGATAATAAACAATTTTTTTTAATTATGCTATGCAATTTAATTTCACTTATCTTCTTTTAAATACTTTATAAATACTGAATCTAATATACTTATTAGATTTATTGTATAAGTCTTTGAATGTTAAGATTAGGTCAAACCTAATTAATTTAATATATATTTTATTTCACAAGTCCCTAAACTTTTTCATCTTATCCTTGTTCTTTTTTTTTAATAATATTATTAATAATAATTATGAATTGAAAAAAGGGATCGTAAATACATTTTATTATGATATTATTTAAACAAAATTTTATTAATAATATTTTTGTTTATAATTTGATTAATTCATTCTAATTAATAATGGACATAATTTTTAACTAATTATCAAGTCCATGAATATTTAATATTAATAACCTACATTTATTATCTTTAGTAAATGTAAAATTAAGTTATAAATCTTATTAGCTACTAATTAAAATTATAGATAACTGTTTAGTAAAATTAGTTTGATTATTATAACTGTAAATATTGAACTTGAGGTAACCATTTCTTTAATGAATTATATCTTATCAATAATATTATGAATAAAAAATTAGCTCACACATATAACTAAATCTCAGATGTTTTTTCAAGGGCCTAAATAAAAAATGCCGTTGAATCTCTTGATAATTATCATGATAGACTTAAATTAATTGACTCAGTCATTGACCGAAGACAATAGATTATACAAGTTAATGATTTATCAAAAATGTCTAAATATGCTCATATTTTCCGAAAGATGATTTAAAGATATCGAAAGAAAAAGGAGGATGAGGCTGCTAATCAAAGATTATAGATGCATATGGTTATGAGTATGTTTGCTCCACAAGAAACATAATCATCACCAAGACATTAACAAAAAAATTTAGAATAAAGAAAGGTGGATCAAAAACGAATAAAAATAAAAGAAACATTAGATTAACGTCGAGATGCTATTCAATTTAAAGTAAATCGAATTTAAAAGGTCAATAATATTAATTCTGAAAGGAAGGTTATTAATTAGAGAAGTAATTCCAATGAAGGTTGCCAATTTTCCAATAGAATTCAACGAGGTTTAAGCTCTTTTGATACAGATACTAGGAATAAAGAAAAAGAATTGAATTTATTGAGTGGAAATGATAAAGAAACCAAATAATTATAAAGTAAGATAAAATAAAGTATAGTCCTTAAAACAAGGATTAACCTTAATCAAAATACTAAAGTATGAAATTCAACCTACTTTAGGATAATGAGAACCTTTTTAAATTATTTTAAAGATAGCATAGTACATTATCCCGTAGATAATATAAGCCATATTCTTAACAATAACTTTAAGATAAATGTGAAAAAGGATAAGAAATTAAAAAATGTGATTAAAATTTGAATCTCATTAATCAAGAGGAATCTTTCTTATCATACTCTGAAAATCTATTAAATTAGCTATACAAAAAATCGTCTTAAATTTAAAAAAAAGAATCTCAAAGTCAACATAATCATCAGAAATTAATCAAAACTAATAAAGAAATTATAGAAATATCAAAGATCAAATTGGCACTTTAAATATCCTGAAAATAGTCATTAAATTTATTTATCTATTAAAACACTTTCTGATTTATTCATAATAGATATCAAGATTCATATATTTTATAATAATTAATTGCTTTTAAGTACAATTTAAATAATTTGATTTAACACCAAAATGAATATAATCCAAACTGATTAGATTCAAATTCTCAATCACGTTTATCATTATTTTTATTTAGACTAAATAGTTAATATTCTTTAATGTAAACTTTTATTATTATAATCAATTAAAATTAATAAAAAATAATATAATAGAAATATTAATCTTAATATAGTTTGATAAGATTTATGAAGAGGATGTATTTCACCCTATTTATATAAAAATAAATAATTAATAAATTCAAATTAAGAATAATTTTTGATAATTAATTGCTTTTTCAATATTTTTATCTATTTTTATTTTAATAATGAAAAGTGCTTTAACATTTGTAATAATTATCACTATTGATATAGCTAAACAAATTGAATTACTCAAAAAGACAAATACATAACTTTTCGGAAATTTAAGATGGCATTGTGTTTGCTTAATTAATAGAAGACTAGTATATATACTGTGCAAGATTTTTAGTTTAGGATTCGATGTTCGAAGATTATTATGGAACCAAATCATAAATAATATCTAATTAGCTAGAAAAAAATGCAAACTAGAAATTAGAAACTTTGATGATGATTTAGCACTTTCTGATTATAATTTAGAATAGGCAAAATTCATACAGTATTTTATTGATACCCTGCTGAGAGTAAACTCTAAAGAAGTAGTTGAAATGATGTAAGAATTGTTGCCTCAATAATAATAAGAAATTATGGGGTTTTTAGAAAATTAATTTGATGACTTTGGAAGTTTTCAAGATTGTGGATATTTTGAACATTAGACAACAAATACAATTATTTCTTTGGAAGAAAATCTAAATACAAAAGATAATATTATTGCCCAGCAAAATAAATAAATTGAATTAATGAAAACAGAATATCAAAATAAAATATCTGATTAACAAAATAAAATTACAGAAATACATGAATTATATGAATAATTATATGATTAGGAAACATTCTGTTTATAAAAACTTAATTGTTGTGATTTTGAAGAAGTATTCAATAAATTTTAAGAATATTTAAAAGAAATAGAAAATAGCAGATAAATAATAGAAGATTTGAATTAACTTGTATAAAATCAATAAAAGGAGATAGCTAAAGTTCAATAAAAGAACTAAACTCTGAAATCATAGTTATTGTCTTGTCCTCCAACCGCAAGATCAATAGAACCAGAATAATAATAGATTATAGTTAAAGATCCAAAAGAATAAAGAATGATAGAAAACTTGAAATCTTAAATTCAAGGAATAAAAGAAGAGCATTAAAGAATCTTAGGATTGAAACAAACATACTTTGATTCAGAATTAACAAAATTAAGAAGAAAACTTTATGAAGCAGAATAGGAAGCAGCATCTTTTAAAAAGAAGATGGAGAGATTTAAATTTGAATTAGAAGAATATTAAAACATGAATTAATATGAAAAGAAATTACCATTTGAAAGTTTAAGACATCAAGGAGTTTATTCATCTAATAATAGTTATATAGTTGAAATTGATTAAAGATTTGGACAATCTCCAAAATCTACATGTCTTGATTTTTTCTAATCTTAAAATAAATCTGAGATAGATCATGCTTTATCACATAATAATTAATCATTAAAATATACAGATGAAACTAATGTGACTAAATTACAATTATAATTAACTGAAAAATCAAATAAGATAATGTAATTAGAAAGATAATTAAATTCTTATTAATAAAGTTCACATTCAAGGAGGAATTCAATGACAAAGTTTAATTAATCTTAATAGGATCGACATTTTGAATAATCGGCAATATTTGAAGTATTTTTATCTTATATAATAGAATTTAAGATTCTATGTGCAATATTCATAATAAAAAGATTAGGAAATAAATTTAATAAGAGAATAATAAAATTAAAATTTTATAGATTTGTGCAAATAAATAATCAAATAAAATGAATAAATCCAAAAACTAAATTCCTTAATCCTGAATAATAAATCAGCAGATTCAATGTAAGAAATTAAAGAAAAACATGAAAATGATTTGTAAGCCTTAAATCAATATTATGTTGATGCTTTAAATAATAAAGATGAGTTGCTTCATTTAATAATTTCTCTATTTTATGATGCAGTTAGTTGATCATTCATTTTATATTTTGTGTTACTTTTTAATTTTTAGCTTTAAAAATTAAATTATATAACTAATCTCTAAATCATTCAACTAAATAGGCTGAGATTAGATTTGATATATTTCAAATATAATTAATTATTAGAACAATTTGTTTAAATAAAATGAATGATAATTAGATACATAATAAAATTTAATATAGTTTATGTATTTAATAGTTAATGTTAGAATAAAAAGATTTAAAATAATACGCAAATATTTATTAATGTTCCACATCTAGCTGAGAAAGCAATCTTTTAGATTCAGCAATATTGCTTAGAACTACATTAATGGAGTATGGAAGGCATCAAATGGAGGTATAGCATTGGAAAGAAGATCGCCTTTGACTGATGAAGTTGTTGGAATAACAAAGTAAACAACCTAAGCTGAATTCAATGAGGCAGTTGATGCAGCTAAAACAGCATTTAAAACATGGTCTTAAGTACCTTTACCAACCAGATAAAGGTAATATTTGTTGTTTGAATATTAGATATATGTTTGAATATCAAGCCAGAATCAGATCTAAAATAGATGATATTGCTAATATAATAGTTGAAGAACATGGAAAAACTTTGGCAGATGCTAAAGGTGATGTAATTAGAGGACTGGAAGTCGTAGAAGCTGCTTGTGGAATTACTCATGTAATGTAAGGTGAAACAGTTGAAAATTTGGCCAAAGGTGTTGACACCTATAGTTATAGAGTACCTTTGGGAGTTTGTGCAGGAGTATGTCCTTTTAATTTCCCTGCAATGATTCCAGTATACATTCATAAATTAGCATTTTAGTTATGGATGTTCCCTATAGCAATTGTAACAGGAAATACTTATGTGTTGAAACCAAGTGAGAGAGTACCAGGGGCAGTCGCTTATTTGACTAAATTATTAGAAGAATCTGGAGTTCCTAAAGGAGTTGTTAATATAGTTTAAGGTGGTTTTGAAACAACAAAGCATATATGTGAACATCCTGATATTAAAGCTGTATCTTTTGTAGGAGGAAATAAAGCTGGTGATTATATTTATGAAAATGCATCAAAAACATTTAAGAGATGTTAAATAAATATGGGAGCTAAGAACCATGGCGTTATTATGCCAGATGCTGATAAAGAGGACTGTTTGAATGCCTTGGCCTCTGCAGCTTTTGGCTCAACCGGCTAAAGATGCATGGCTTTGAGTGTTGCTATTTTTGTAGGACAAAGCAGAGAATGGATTCCTGATCTTATTGCAAAGGCTAAATCTTTCAAAGTTGGAGCTGGACATGAAAATATAGATATTGCTCCAGTTTCTTATAAAGAATTATATGAGAGAATTCATTATTTGGTGGGCACAGCTGAAAAAGAAGGAGCTAAATTGATTTTGGATGGAAGATCATTCAAACATCCAAAATATCCAAAGGGCTATTTTGTTGGTCCAACTATAATTGATAATGTATACTATTGTCCTATTTCAAGATGAACACAAATATGACATCTTACAAAGAAGAAATTTTTGGACCAGTTCTGAATATCTTGTATGCAGATACACTTGATTAAGCCATCGAGATTATTAATAAGTAATAAGGTTTAATATTAGTAGTAATCCTTGGGGTAATGGAACAGCTATATTCACATAGAATGGATCAATTGCTAGAAAGTTCTAAAATGAAGTGAATGCAGGATAAATTGGTATTAATTTACCAATTCCAGTTCCTTTACCTATGTTTTCATTCACTGGAAATAAGCGATCTTTTAATGGTGATGCCAATTTCTATGGCAAAGCCGGTATAAGATTTTTCACTTAGATGAAAACAATCACTTCTAGATGGAAAGAACCTTCTGACAGCTATACATTAAGTACAGCAATGCCTACAATGAAATGAAAATATAAAGAGTAGTATATCGCAAACCCTATCATCATTTCATTACACTTATTTATCTTTAAGTTCAAACATTTATTTAAAAAATATTGTAAATTAAATGAAATAAATTGTGAAAGAATTATCAATGTTCATTGAAAAGGATGGATAAAGATTCATCAAAGAAGGAAAAGCTCTTATACAAACAAAGAGGGTCGAAATAAAGGAAGGTAAATAGATTGAAGAAGAAGTATTCTACAATCCTGCACAAATAATTAATCGTGATTTGACAGTATTGACAATTGATACTTTTTCAGAAAATCGTTAACCAATAACAATTTTAGATGCATTGTCTGCTTCCGGATTAAGAAGTGTTAGATTTGCATAAGAAATATAAAATATTAAAGAAATCTATGCAAATGATCTTTCATTAGCTAGTTTAGCATTAATAGAAGAAAATATCAAACTGAATGAAATAAGCAATGTGAAAATATATAATATGGATGCAAATAAATTAATGAAGGAGGACATCAAATTTGATGTAATAGACTTAGATCCCTATGGGACAGTTTGTCCATTTTTAGATTCAGCGATTCATGCCTGTGATGATTCATTATTATGTATCACCTGTACTGATAGCCGAGTATTATGTGGTCCTGATACATAAAAATGTTTTGCTGTATTATTTATGATTATTTATTAGTAATATGGTACAGCAAGAACGAAAATGAATTGTTTTGCTGAGAATGGATTAAGAACTTTATTATATACAATTAGTCAAGCAGCAGGTAGATTAGGGAAAGCAATTAAGCCATTGATATCTTTTTATGGTGAGTTTTACCTAAGAGTTTTTGTTCATGTAATAAAGGATAAAAAGGAGACTCATAAATTATTTTCTCAGATTGGTAATTTATTTTTCTGCTAGTCATGTTAATCATTTCATGTTTATCCATATGGCCAAAAGGAAGAAAAAAGTTACAAAATCAATAAAAAACCCATCCCATCCAAATGTGAGGTTTGCGGGTCTTTATTTAAGATTAATGGCCCAGTATGGATAGATGAAATAAATAATATTGAATTTGTTAAGAAAATGTTAACTAATCTAGAAACAAAGCATACTCATTTCTAAACCTTTGATTAGATAATAGGTAAATTAACAGGAATTATTAATTAACATGAAGTTTCCTCTAATCCTTATACTTATAATATGACTTATTTGGCATCTAATTTGAAATGCTCTAATATCAGTAAAAAAGAAATATAGTAAATTGTATTAAATATATTAGTGCCGGATTTCAATCGTTAGGTTACAAAATTGCCTAATGTTATCTTTAAGTAGACCTTTATAAGACTAACGCACCTAATTAAGCAATCTATGATATAATAAAAACTTGGGTATTATTTAGATTATTAAATTAATAGAAAAAAATTAAATACGGTGACAATTATCTTAAGAATATATAAGAAAATAGTCCTGCCTATACAATTTTGACTTCTGAAATACAATATAAACCAGACTTCACATTTAAGCCTACTTTCAACTCTGCCAAAATGTTTTACCCTAATTTGGAAGGCTTTGGACCTAAATCAAAAGCTATTCAGAGGTAATATTGCTACTATTAATATTTAGAAAAATAATTGAATTGGAAGGAGAATAGGCAATTAAAAAACAAAAAATTGATTGAATATATCATTTCATTAATCATAATAACAAACTATGTTAAAATATACAATATACTTAAGAATTATTATATAAAAAAGAATTCTTTCTTCTGAGTCTTTTTCTGTCCATTGACAATTTAAATCAAGTCCTTATATGCTAACATCAATAATCTTCATAATGATAAAATGAACTTAAATTTCTTGATTCTTTTTTTTTTAGGTTATGAAGTACTCTTGGATCACAATTATTAATATTTTTTATAGAGATATCAAATTTAAGTATTTCATTCGATCTTTCAATAAATATTTAATGGACTGTTTACTTTAGTTCAATCACAAAAAAAATTTGTAATTTAGCATTCAAGCATTTTTTATAATTTATATAGATTTTTTGAATTTTATCAAAATCTCATTTTATATGTTTTAAGAATTTGATAATCTTACAAATCGATTATGATCTTTAGATATATACTTATATTTAAATTCTCAAATCGTAAAAAATCACTAAATATTCTATTATTTTTTCCTTTTAAACAATGTTGGTGATAAAATATCACAGCAATGAGAATATTTCTAACACTAAAATTATAAATCCTTTTATTGAGTTTGAGTGATTATGGAACAGATACTGAAAAAATATATGAAAATTTGAAAAATATTTTTGCTGCAAAGAAAACAAATCAGCCTTTTAGTATAGTAAAATAAAAAAACAAGATATTGTAAAAATCATTTTATGGAATAGTATATTAAGAGGATGTAAGTGATTCATAAAGTTTTTTTCTGAGGGGACAAATTAAAGATTAAAATTAATTTTCTTAAAAAAGAGATAATGAATAGTACACTAAGCTATTCATACTTAATTTAATCAAATTATTTAGAATCCTCAAAATAACAAGAAAATAGAAAGAGAAAATTAGGAATAACTGATTTTATTTTTTAAGTTTGTATTTATATAAATGTAAATGTTTCTGGCAAATATAAAAATACCGATAGAAAAATAATCAAACAATAGAGGAATTAAGAATCTTTCATAGGTTATCTTAATAAAATGCAACTAAAATATACATAATAATTGCATTAAATTTGTTAGGATAGATAATAATCAAAAATCTTTTTATAAATTGTAATGATGAATTTGATAATTAATATTAATTTAAGTGATGATAATTCAGAAAAAGAATATGAAAAGCAAGAATAAATTCAATTTATTTGTTTAATTTTTCAAAAGCACATAGCTTAAAATTTTCAAAAACGAAAATTTTTAGATAACTTAGGCCCACTTAAATTGATAAAAGATTTTTGAATCTTCTACAACAGGCACTTAATCTAAATTTGATTAATATACTTCCCAATTCTAAACTCTTAACTACTTAGCATAAAAATAGACTTTTTTAAATTGGAAAAAAAACCAAGGTGAAATGTTTATAGTATTTATATGATCATAATTATTCTTATCTTGACCTGATATTTTTTAAATGAATTATCCAATTACTATCACATTTAGGTAAGTAGTAGTTTTTAGGAGATTTCTCTGCTTTTTAACTCTATACATCTCTTTCATTTTGCTAATATGCTGTCTTAATGGCTCGAGCAGAATTCATTTAATTTTCAATTTTTTATTCTTAAATAATAGAATTAGCTTTCAATCTCGGAGTTGATTCAGATTGATCCTTTTAAAGTGTGCTTAAATAAATTTGTTTCCTTTTTGGTTGGGCTTTAAAATATTTATATTGAGCTCCTATTAAAGTTGGATCTACAATATTATGACACTCTACATTTTTCTTTAGGACGATAACTAATTGAAGGTCTTATTTTTTATTCATTAGAAGTACTAACTCTTTACTATTTATTTTAGGTTTTTGCGAGTTTTTCAACCATTTTTTTATTGCAAAGAGCCAAAAGATACTTATGTATATCATGAATTTTATTCGATTCTTTTCCTATTGCATAATATTCAAACATTTATAATAATTTTTCATATGAACTATTGAAAATTATTTATCAGAATTGCATTTCAAATCTAGATTAATAAGAGAAATATAATCCGATTGAATATTAGTTTAAAATAAATCAACAATTAGATGATGAAGACGATGATGACCTATTTTATTTTTTTTGTTTATTTTAATAAATTTTAAGTTATAGACAACTTTAACAACTAAAAAAATATCATTTCTAAAGAAAGAGAAATTTAAAAGATTGATACAAACTTAAACAAAATTTCTTTTCTTATTAAAAGACTATTAATACACAAGAAAAAAATTCTCAAATGATTTTATTTTTAAATTAATCATTAGAATTTTATTAAGGATTCATTACTATTCATATAAAAGATAGTTTATCTTCTTACAGCTCATACTATATTGTTTAGTAAATAAATTGATTAATTAATGCTAATATCTGATATCTTTGGTTATTTATTTTATTATAGCAAGTTAATTGAAATTCAGAAATAAAAAATAGTTGAAAGTTCTTTATTAAACAGCAGATTGAAAGTATTTTGTAAATAAATTATATTTTTATTAATTATGTATATAGATCATAAAAATTGAATTAATTATTACAATATTTAATTTTAGAAGACTTAAAATGGAAATTCAATAAATTTTGATAAAAATGTTCTCCTTTCCTCTTTACATAGATCACTTCTTTATCATTGATTAAAAAAATGAATTTGAATGGAAATTGATTTAATCCTTCTCCTAATAGACAATAAACCACTCAATTCATGAATAATTTGATAGATATTTAAATATTCAGATTCCCCCATATTTAGCCTCTTAATAAGTTTTTAAGGAGTTAAATAAGGTAAATGAAATCATTTAACTTATAATTAAGATTAGAAAGGACATCATTTATACTTAATATAAAGAAGCAAATACAAGTAATTTATTCTTAAAAATAGATGACACATCATCAATGTTTGGAACATATTAAAATTTATAAAATCATCTTGGTAAATATTTTGAGATTGATATGAAACCATAATATAGGAAATATTAGTTAACGTAATATGGAATTATTGATTTATTGGTATTCAGCTTTTTACATAAAAGCAGAAGTTTTCATAGAGTAATTACAAAAGGAATAGCTCCTTAAATATCATGTTTGTATAGTTGGTATTCAGAATTTATTGTTGCATTTGAAATAAATAACAAGATTGATCCAAATTATTTGCCTAGAAAGGAAAAACGAGTTTAAATATAGAAAAATAAATAGCAAAAAAGTAATCCAGAACTAATTGAATCAATTAAGGAAAATAAGTTCTTAGTTTTCTAAGATCTAATTGATAAAGGTGCATCAATATATACAGTATCCTTAAGGGATAAGGAAAAAATGCTTGTTCCTCATTTAGTGTGTGCATTCGCAAGAATAAATTATGCCTAATATTTATCCAGTAAAAATGTAGATTGGGAATGTGAAGATGATGACAAAATGACTCCTATATTTTATGCTATCAGAAGTGAATCCAAAGAAATGATTGAATATTTACTTAAAGAAAAAGTCAATTTAGAACATAAAGATATTTAAGATAGAACTCCATTTTATTACGCTTGTTCATTAGGATAATTGTTTATTATTAGGTTCCTTGTGGAAAAAGGAGCCAATATAAATGCTAAGACTGCTTTAGGAAGGACTCCATTTTCAAAAGCAAGCTTTTTGGGATTGTATAACGTTGTAGAATTTTTACTTCAATAACCAAATATAGACTATAATTATGCAGATAAGCAAGGAAGAAATGCATTACATAATGCAGTTTTTGGCCCTAAGGGAGGAAGAGATGGAAGAAAGGTTGGTACTTGGTGTTATGATAGTCCTTTAATTGCTTAATTATTGCTTGAACATGGAATGGATGTAGAGGCTAAAGATAAGGATAACAATACTCCATTGCATGTTGCAGCATCAAGTGAGGCTTTAAATTCAATACCTATTCTATTAGCATTTGGTTGCGATATCAATAAAAGGAATAAATGGGGAGAAACTGCACTAATGATAGCAGCAAAATTTAATCATTATGAAACTGCAAATTTATTAATTTCAAATTAAGCAGATTATTTCTTAGAAAATGAGGGATATACACCCATGGAAATTGCTGCAAAAAATGATTAATTTGAGGTATTTCAATTTTTATTAGATAAAATGAGGCCAGAATTATTACAATTAGAAAAAGTTAGAAAGTGTAAATTGCAATAAATTCTTTAATCTTTAATGAGCCTTACTAAGAGTTTCAAAGAAAATAAATATATAAAATATTTCTTATAAAATTTCTAGCCGAATTATGACAAAGAACATGTAGGATTGATAATCGAAATGTAAGATGGATAGAATGAACTTATATCAAGTTATTTAAAGAATTTCATAGTCACATAAGAATAAATAAGTAAGTCTTTTGAACTTTGTTTGAGAAGGAAAAACATGTCAATATTCAAACAAATATGCCTTCATGCCCGATTTGAGTATAAAGTTTGCCTTTAAAAATCATTAATTACGATGTTGCTCGAATCAGTAGAATTAGATACTTTGCTTTTTCAATTTAATATTGATTGGTTTAACTATAGAAGCAAATAGGGTGAAACATTTTTACATAAATTGATAGAGAATAGGAAAACTGAAACTCTTTTAAAAATACTAAATTTATTTTAAGAAATAATAGATTAATAGTTTTACAAAAACTATAAAAATTTCCATATACATTCTATAGCTAAAGATGATATTTATAATTTTTTAACATGCTAAAACCTAAGCTAATCAACAATTATTGAAATAGCTGTAATTCATAAATTTATGGATATTTATTAAATGCTAGATAATTTCATTTCTATTAATTATGGCTCTAAATAAGGACTCAAGTTTAAATTGATAAATTATGCAATTGAATTAGATCATATTACTAAATTACCTCAGGTTTTCTTTTAGGAGGAAGAAAATTATAAATTTATCAAGAAGTTTTCAGAAATAACATCATTAACAGATAAAGAATTGTAATTTTTTGAAAAAATCTTAAAAGAACATAAAAATGGCAAGCTTCATTTATCTTAATTCTATTCATAAATTTAATCTGAAAAACCAGTTAAAGTAGTTGAATAAGAGGAGCAATTAAAATAATGTGTTAGTGATATTCTTTAAAATTTCACAATTTTAGGAGTCGATATCGAACATTATTCTGATAAAGTCGATGAATTTAAAATATCCTTTGCTTGCACAATTTAATTATCCACTGTAGATATGGATTACATCATAGACATTATGAAATTGAGACCTATCTGTAATAAGTATTTAACACCTATTTTTGAGAATCAACATTTACTAAAAGTCTTTCATGGCTGCGAAGTCGATTTAAGAGTTCTTTTTAGCGATTTAAAAATAATTGTTAAAAACATTTTAGATACAAGTAAAATTGATATGGCTTTGATTAAATCTCCTAATGCTCAATCTTTAGAAAAGTTATGCAAGCAATATTTGAACATCCATTTAGATAAGCTATATCAAACTTCTGATTGGAGAATAAGACCATTGCCTCAACAAATGATAGAATATGCTAGACTGGATTCAGCGAGTTTGTTATTTTTATATCCAATATTGATAGATGAAGTAATTATCATTTGTATTTTTTTAGTGCAGGAAATCTAATTTAGTCACCAAAGTGTTCAATTAGTGTCAAAAATTAAGTCTGATTACATAATATCCATTAGTAAATATTTCAAATAAAGATTGATATTGATAATCTCTCTGGAATCTCTCTAAATAAATATCTAATTACTTAATTAATATCTAATAAATTCTTTGATTATTTCAGTTATCAAAAACTCCAAAAACCTCACACATAGAGTTATTTTAAGTTCCTTCTTGAAATCTAAACTTTCTTCTATAAACTTTAACAAAAAGGATTTTGGTTACGACTCAGCTCTTTAAGACAGTCAAGCCTCTGCTTATAATAACACTCAAGCAATGATCAAACCTACTAAAAAAAAAATTTGCACCAAGCTTTATGAAAAGAGTTGCATTTGATAAACATCTAGAAGAAGTAAAACTAGCAAGATTATTTTTGGAAGAAGCTTACCTTAATGAAGATTTAAAGCAATTTCTCTTTATATTCTTTTTTCATTTATTTAATTTGAAATAATTTAATGCATTAGAATTGGTATTCAATTTCTATAATCATATATTCAACTCAAATTTTTCAAGTAGTTCTTAGTATAGACTGATCCAAAGACTTTTCTCATTTACATAACACTCAAAGTAATTAAACACTTATTATGGTCAGGTTCTAATAACTATTTAGATTTGATCAACTTTTAAATGGTGGCCCTAAAAATATTTCTAAATTATTTTGTTTCAATTATCTCCAATTATACACAATTCCATATATTTAACGGGTCCATAATTTCATTCTTAGTTAGGCAAGAATATTGATTGTTAAAGTAGCATTTGATGTAACGTTCTATAATATAGAAACTAACAAATGTGAATAAAGCAGCATCCAAATCCCAAAAGGATTCTATATTTTTATACATCGTTCATTTTTGATCATTTTCTTCAATAGAGTTCTGTTTACATAATTTTTATACTATGTGCTACTTACAAAATCACATAATGATCAATTTCTTAAGTGAATGAATATTTCTTTTAAAATAACTAAAAAATAAAATATAATAATCAACAATAAATAGTTTGAATTGTAATTTCATCCATCTTATCACTTTGGATTTATTATTTTATTTATTGGCTTTTTTAAGTGGTAATTGCTATCAGAGTTTGCTGATTTCACTCAGCCGCTTATGTAACCTTAGCTGGAGGGTGACCCTAGCAATTTTCGAGATAGAAAATCTTGAAAACTATTAAAAATTGGGTATTACAAATTTGAAGTTTCTTTTTTTGCTAATGCATTAACATAATCTTAATTGGAAATGAAATGGAGATGTTATGATACACATATATTTCATTCTTTTTTTAGATTTCGATGACACAGTGGAGCTTTAGTTTGTTAATTTATCATTAAATTTTATTAATAAACATGTGGTATAATACCCTTATACTGATGGGACCCAAAGAGAATTATATGCCTAGCGAATTTCATTTAATAATACATCATATCATATTTATTATAAATTATTAATAATTATATAGAAAAAATGAAATTTATTTATGAATAGTTACCAAGAAAGACGTAAAATAAGCAGAGCTTATTAAAACCTAGAATGTGAAATCAGTTCGCATCCCAATATTGAGTAAATTATGCACTTATTAATCCTGGTTAAGATTTATAGTCACAAAATTTGATAATCTGATAAACTTGTAAATTTGTAGCATTCTTACCCTGAAATTCTAGCAAGCACATTAATTGATCTATTAAATATTACCAACATGCAATATTTACCAAACTTTTGGTTTTCGTTTTTAATTAATTTATTCTCCTTCATATCAAATACATCTAATTTAAAATTTGAATTACAATCATTCTTTATTTTTACTGTTTTATTAAAACAGCTTTCCTCTTTCTTAAATTGATCTAATTCATTAAATTTTCTTTTATTCAACACGCCAAACCCAATAAACCAATTTTTATTTTCAATAACTTTAAAAACTCTCTAAAATCAAGGGTAACTATAACTGATTAATTGAGAAAAATAGAGAAAAAGATAGCCTTTTTAAAGATGTTGTCAAATTCTTGTTTCAATTAAACATCTGTGATAGTTTTTTTATAATTATTATACAGAAATAGAAAAAAAAAATTGGCGGCAGGGTTTACAGCAATCAAAATATATTAATCAAAAAAAAAAGGAATCAGATTATGAATAAATTACTTTTAAAGGAATGCAATTATAATTTAATTCAAAGATTAATATTAAGAAAATTTATAGCAAGACTGATGTTAGAAGGATTTTCAACAAGTTCGATTGGTGCAACTTTAGGATTAAAAGCCAATTTTAATGATTGAATAACTTGAAAAAGACTTAAAATTTTCATCTAAAAAAATTCTCATAATTATTTAGGTCTATTAATAATATTTTTTTGTAATAAATCAATTCAATAATTGTTTATTAATAAAGTAAGATTCATCTAAAAGAATAAATTATCCCTTAAAATAAAAAAGAATTTAATTATAGAAACTTGCTATCAGCAGAAAACTGCATTATGTAGCCTATTTATCATCAATAATTTTCTCTATTTAAAGAAAATTATTTTCTATAAGAATTATTTATATATACATTTGGATGTAGGAATTGATTGTCTTGACTAATGCATTTAAGGTTTATTGAAGCTAGAAAGGTAAAAAAGAAAAATGTCAATATTCAGAAATATTAAAATCAGGTAAAAAATTCAAGAATTTCAATTAATATTGAATTGCAATTAGATAGTAAAATTTATTTCAACCAAATAGAATGGATGTCACTACAAGATAATAAAAAGCCAAATTAGATGATCATAGTAATTTAGTTAGTCTGTTTCTCTCCTGATGGAAATACATTAGCTTCTGGTAGTAATGATAACTCTATCCGCCTATGGGATGTAAAGACAGGATAAGAAATTAAATCATCTGATAAAAACTACAAAGATATTCTTGCATAATTTAAAATACCACTTTAGAATAGCTCATTATTACCAAATGATATTTGTTATTTATTATTATTTATTTGAGCCAGATCGTACAATACTTAGGATTTGTTAGAATCCTTTATTAGAAGCACAAGGAACACTTATCTTATAAGGAGAATTCATCAACCATTAAGGGAAATATTTAAAACCTTTTTTTAAATCTAAAGGAGGTTGCCTTTTGGAAACTATAAAAAACTTTGACATAAAGAAAAAAGAAGATTGTATTGTATATTGAAATTTATTGAATATTATTTTTTTTTCAGGATTTTTTAAAGTAATTCTAAATTTATTCAATATTTTATGTAAACATCATTCTCATATTAAAACCGATAGCCATTACTGTTTCGACGATTTATTAAATTTGACTTTTTCATTTAGTATATGAAATATCAAAAAAGTGAAATTTTATAAGATCATCTAACAAATATTGGTATAAATAGTTTTATAATTGTAAAAGATAAATTTAATATCAATAAATTATAAAGAAAAAAATATGTCAAGAATTTAACAATTTGGTTGGATGATTTTTAATATTGAAAGTAACGTACAAATCACCATTGATGATTATTCTTCTATCGATATTAAAAGTATGAGACATTATAAAAGACTGAAAAGGTATATTAATCATCAAAAAGTTGTATATTTTTTGAAATTATTAAGATTTATAGAGATAGTTATATCTTCCCTAACACCCAACTAACAATCTGAATTACTGATTAACTTACATGAATTTTTACATAAATCAAATAATAATCGTTTATAAATTATTGAGATTATGTACACAGTTTTTTATAGTGTCAAAACAATATAATCTCTGTTAACTTCAAGACGATTTTAACTAAATTTATTAATATAGACAAAAAATATCCCTCATTTCTTAGCTTATACAAACTGTATTCTTTAGATGAACTCATGAAATTAATTCATTTAGAAATTAAGTAAAATTTATATTCAATCACCTAAAGATTGAAGCAGAAAAAAGGAATCAATGATTAATGATTGGTATTCTTTTTCAAATTCATAATTGAAAGCGTTAAAATAATTAAATTTTTCGTTTCCAAAAAGGACATTAAACCCCTTCAATATTATATTAATTAGATAAGACACTTATCGAATAAACTAAATAAAATAGCAGGAAATTAATGATATTATTATGTACATTTAAGTGTATTGTTGTGATTAAGACGTTATAACTCATCACTTATTTAATAATGCTTTTAATTTTTCATGGGTTTTATTAATTCAGGGTTATAATATTTTTCAGTTCTTATTTAAAAAAAGTTAGTTTTAAAACATGATTTAGAGTTNGATCGTACAATACTTAGGATTTGTTAGAATCCTTTATTAGAAGCACAAGGAACACTTATCTTATAAGGAGAATTCATCAACCATTAAGGGAAATATTTAAAACCTTTTTTTAAATCTAAAGGAGGTTGCCTTTTGGAAACTATAAAAAACTTTGACATAAAGAAAAAAGAAGATTGTATTGTATATTGAAATTTATTGAATATTATTTTTTTTTCAGGATTTTTTAAAGTAATTCTAAATTTATTCAATATTTTATGTAAACATCATTCTCATATTAAAACCGATAGCCATTACTGTTTCGACGATTTATTAAATTTGACTTTTTCATTTAGTATATGAAATATCAAAAAAGTGAAATTTTATAAGATCATCTAACAAATATTGGTATAAATAGTTTTATAATTGTAAAAGATAAATTTAATATCAATAAATTATAAAGAAAAAAATATGTCAAGAATTTAACAATTTGGTTGGATGATTTTTAATATTGAAAGTAACGTACAAATCACCATTGATGATTATTCTTCTATCGATATTAAAAGTATGAGACATTATAAAAGACTGAAAAGGTATATTAATCATCAAAAAGTTGTATATTTTTTGAAATTATTAAGATTTATAGAGATAGTTATATCTTCCCTAACACCCAACTAACAATCTGAATTACTGATTAACTTACATGAATTTTTACATAAATCAAATAATAATCGTTTATAAATTATTGAGATTATGTACACAGTTTTTTATAGTGTCAAAACAATATAATCTCTGTTAACTTCAAGACGATTTTAACTAAATTTATTAATATAGACAAAAAATATCCCTCATTTCTTAGCTTATACAAACTGTATTCTTTAGATGAACTCATGAAATTAATTCATTTAGAAATTAAGTAAAATTTATATTCAATCACCTAAAGATTGAAGCAGAAAAAAGGAATCAATGATTAATGATTGGTATTCTTTTTCAAATTCATAATTGAAAGCGTTAAAATAATTAAATTTTTCGTTTCCAAAAAGGACATTAAACCCCTTCAATATTATATTAATTAGATAAGACACTTATCGAATAAACTAAATAAAATAGCAGGAAATTAATGATATTATTATGTACATTTAAGTGTATTGTTGTGATTAAGACGTTATAACTCATCACTTATTTAATAATGCTTTTAATTTTTCATGGGTTTTATTAATTCAGGGTTATAATATTTTTCAGTTCTTATTTAAAAAAAGTTAGTTTTAAAACATGATTTAGAGTTAAAATTTATTATTATAAAATTATTTGGAATTTCATTTTGGTTTTTGGTTAACTTTACAGTTAGCAATTCAATTTCAAAGAATTCTTAAAATAGGCTTATTTTGCTTAAAGTCTAGATAAAAAATATTTTATTGTCTATTTATATTTAGATACAGTATTAAGATCAGGAATATTAGAAACCCACATTAAAAATTTAGCGGCAAAAAATTTAAATATTAAGTGGAAAAAATTTGAATTTGGTTTCCTGAAAAAGGGAATAAGGAGTATTTAAACTAAGTTGTAATTCGGCATCTTAATATACTCTCAATTGCTTTTATTTTTTGAGTGATCATCCATTAATAAATTGGATAGTAGTTATTCATTTATTTTTAATCGCCTCTAATAATAATTAACAGAATATCAAAGATATCATCTAATTCTTGACTAGGGACCAGGGATCCAAAAGTTGTATTTTTCTGCTTTCAAATAGTATAAAAGCGAAATATATTTTTTTAATCAAATATTTGATATTTATTCAGGTGTGGAATCCCATAAATTTTATTAATTATTTTATAAAAAAAATTTGGATACATTTCAGAAATGAGCAAAAAAAATTCCAAGAATCTAGGTATAAATATCAAATGGAATTGTTTTTAGGAGTTTAAAATTACTTACAGAACAGAAGAAGCATTAGTAGTTTAATAATGCTTTGGATCTATGCCCTCAATTTGGCGAAGCCTACACTTTAAGAAGTTCAAAGTTTAAAAAATCCATTTATAAAATGATATGAAAAAATAAAATTATATGTGGAAAATGTAAATTAGAATGCTGAAAGCTATTATTAAAGAGGTATCTTAACATTTAAGGAACAATTTATAGGAAAAAATAATTATTTGATCTAACTTTATAAGATTATATGAAGTGTGTTTAGATTAATCCAAAATTTGCAAAGTGTTATAGTAGAATGGGTAATAAAATACTCATAATGCATAGGCACTGTTATGAGCGATTTATAATAACAGGATGTTGCGCTCTAAAATTCTAATTAGTATAGAAAATGATGGGAACTGCATTTATGTTTAGAAGTAATGTAAAATTCATATTTTTAGCTTGGTATAATTAAAATGAACAAATGAATGATGATGCACTTAGAGATTTCAATTAAGCTTTAAAAATGAATCCAAAATATGCTTTAGCCTATAATTACAGAGGTGAATACTATTACACATAATATTTTAGCCATATTATTTAAAGATATTGGTGGCAAAGATAAAGAATTAAGTGACTATTAACAAGGATTTTGTCTATCTCTTAATGATCCGTTGTTATTATGCAATTTGGGTGATTATTATTACATTCTTTCTGACCATACTTAATAAACTTTGAATGTTCTCAAAAGGCCTTAGATTCTTTATAGAGGTTAAAATAATCAGAAATGGTGAAATGACATTTAAACAAATAAAGTATTAATATCATAAAATCTAAAGATTGACATCCTAAAAAAATTAGATAAAGAAATTGAGCAATCTAAATATCTTTTCGAGAAGTTGCCAATCGAAAAGCCTTAATTAATCTAGGAAATTAAAAATCTTTGAATTAGATATATTAACAAATAATAACCAATACTTTTCCATCTATCAGAATTTATTTTTTCAATTAATTATTGTTTATAAAATTACTTTTAAATTCAAATGATAGGCATAAATTCATAAATCAAAAAAAATTAGTTTGACACAAGTTATAAAATAATCTTAAGACAAAAATAATAGAAGTTCCAACTGATTAATAGGATTAATTTAGCAACATTCTCAACCATTAATTATGAGCCTTCAATAAGAGAAGAAAAGAAATTCTATCCTTATCATCATAATTAATATTATTTGCTCCTTTCGAAACTCTTCTTTCCAGATCTAACAGGATATTCATTATTTGAAAAAAATTAAAAAAAGAACGCTTACCAAAATTATCATATTGGGAAGATCTAAAATAAAATGATGAGGATTCTTAAAAAATTGAGTAACAAAATAAAAGAAAAAGTATCTGTTACGATTTAATAAACATAATATTTTTGCTAATTAAAATTTATTATCTTAGATTTTTTACTTATTATTGAAGCTCCAGCAAAGAATTGGGAATCTATCACAATGAATAAAGTAGTTAAAATTGCTTTAAAAAATCAAAAGGATGATGCATATCCATCCGTTCTAAACCTATTGTGTGTGTTTTTTTAACTAGCATAATTATAATTTGGCAAAGATTTTCTCAATCAAAGCAAGGATTATTCTTATTAATTTAGTTTATTAAAAGTTAACTAAATTAAGTGCTTATTCAATAGCTGAAGCGAATAGGTAAAAATTTTAATTTAGCCTCTGGTGATATCAATTATCCTAAATATGTCTTTATTAAAGTCCATTTAGTATTAGAATAATCTATAGTAGTGTTTGTTTTTTGTCCATGATTTTTGGATACTACATATTATGATATAGATTTAATCGGCCTATTGGCTTGATTGCACTCGCAATGAAAGTGAATCCCTAGAAATAAAATTGGATTTGACCTAGAATTCAGTTAAAGAATTTTCCGTCTTATTGGATTAGAAATTTATTCAGGAGAAGCTTGGGGCCTGTATTGGTAGAGTTGGTTATTTCTGTAGATAGTGGCTCTTCAAAAATTGAATTAAAATTTGCCAATAAATGTGTTTTACTGGCAGCATATTTTGGATAAGTCATTTTTATAATAATTATACAATTCAAACTTTAGTTAAACATTCAAAAATGCTTTCGATTTTATATTCACTGAGTGTATTAATAAACAGACTTATATTATTTGGATGATCCATTATATGATTTTGATGAAAATGTTGATAAAAAAACTTTTAGATTGACAATCAAAGAACTTATTTCTTAGAATTAAATTAAGAGTATAAAATTCTTCTCAGAGGATAAATTAAGAAATTATAAAATTTTAAATATTGTTACCAGTTTCATATTTTGATGAAAATCATCTGGAAGAATTCTCAATAATTTTTTCTAATAATCTATCTTTATTTGATAATCAAAAAAATTGAGTTAGCTGACAATTTCTTATTTGCTCTTATATAAATTTTGATGATTTTCTTAAGAGACAAATCAAAATTTCTTTATTATCTTGAGGATTATTCATATTATCTGAATATAATGGTTCGATACAATGAGTATTAGAACAAAAAATAATTTTTCATACACATTAGAACTCTTATTACAGAATGCTTTAGATTATAGATGTACTGCCGAGTTCCTTAAAATGTTAAAGAAGATGATAAACATCTTAATTTTTCAAAGGATGGAAAAGGATACAGATCAAATCTTTATTTAGTACATAAAGAATTGTCATTTGAAATTTAAAGTAATGAAAAAAATGGTTTTTGAAGAACAGGCCCTGAAAATCAAACCATTTTTAGAATGCAAGAAATAGAAGATTTATAGAAATCAAAATTATTTAATTCTAGTTAAGATATTAGAAAAATTAGGATTACATAAGGTAAGAAATAAATTTGTAATTATCGTTTAATCTCCTTTCTTATGCAAATTAATTTATTGTATATTGGAGAGAAGTTTCACTATAGAATATTTGTAATCCTTTGGCCAAATAGATGATTTATTTCATTTTAATTTAAACTTCTTAAATCCTAATTCATTCTTAAAAATGAAAATATGTAATGATACAATAAATGATTGAAAAATGATTTTATCTTATGCTTCCCAAATATTTGACTTACTTACCTCAATTTAAATTTAGGAATATTAAAAATAAATTAAAGAATACATATTTAAATATTGAATTTTTGAATTCTAATAATTTGGATAAATTTTATAAATTAGAATATTTTTTCAACAGCACTATTTATTTTGAATTTAGATTTTTTAATAAAACATAGTTGATAAGTCAAATATTAATATTTAAAATTCAACTAAACATTTTAAAAATACATAAGAAAAAATTAATGACTTCTTGAAAAAATAAAATTAATTATTTGAACTAAAATGATAGGTTTAAAATTAAATATTTCAGATAACAAGCATATAGTTCTAAATTTATATCTTACATACTAAAAACAACGAAGGTTAATTTTTATCAATTCTGATCAGATTAAAGTAAAATGATAATTAATTTTATCAATTATTTTTATATTAAATATTAATTATTATATAACATAAATTTAAAATTTGTTAACTCATTTTGCTTAAAGTAAAAACAAAAAAAAAACATATTTCTTTCTCAAAGAAATTAAGAAAAAATATGAATATAAATAACCAGTATTTAATCTTTGTTTTTATTCCCTCTAAAGATTTATAAAATTATTAATTACAAGAAGTGTATAGTAATTTATAAAAACTTTATTAATTTTTGAGAGAAAAGGAAAACATAGTTTAATAAAATTATCCTGATTTAAATTAAATCTTATGTAATTAGCCTTTGTTAAAATATGATATCTTCTTATTTAAATAAAAATTACAATTCTTAAGTAATAACTAATTTATCCAATCAGATTTTACAAGATTAAGAAAACCGAAAAAAAAAAATAAGAAATAAGGCTAATCCTAATGAGATAAAGCTGATCATTCACAGAATATGCTAATTTTATTTCTTAAGCAAATAACCCATTTCCTTTGATATAGTTAATTTAAGAAATTGTTCTTTTAACTTAATCAAAGCTATGATCTGAATAAGATTTAAATAATTTATCTTTATGATACTGTTTATATATCAAAGTAATTAGGAGGTTCAAATATATTTTGGTAAGTTATAGATATTTTAGATAAAATTAATTATGTCAATCGCAATTTATAAAATAATTTTATTTTTTAACAAAGCTCAAGTTGAAATTATCATAACGGTTATATTTTTATTTAAGATAGATTTTTAAAGTAAAAGAATAAAAATCTCTTATAGATAAACTTAATCTTGAATTATATAATTTGTTATTTTTTATTTGTCTGTTAAATTAAATTAACATAATCGAAAATATATATAAGTAGAAGATAGTTAAATATTTTTCTAACTTTACATGATTTTCATATTCTGAAATACTTAATGATTTGGATGAAACTTTTAAATTATTCTTTTAATAAATATGAAAATATTTAAACCATATATATTGAATGATCATATATTTTATATTAATTAGAATCCACTCATATGGGAAATGGTAAAAAAAATTTTAACTGTATCCAAAATTTAGATTTTATAATACAAAGGGAATGCTATTATTCAATCGTTTATGGTGTTGTAATTAAATGGTAAGCAATAGATGATGAAAGAATTTAAGTTATAAATGAGTTTAACATGATTTCATTCGAAAATAAAACATATTCTCACATTAACCCTAATGTAGAAGAAGCTTTCATCTCTTTGATTAATTTTTCCTACAAATGTTCTATTTACTTCGATATTTTGGTATTTATTTAGAGATATTAATTTAGATTTCTGAATTAACAAAATCAAATGTATCTGTTGTAATAACTAATCAAAACAATAAATTATAAAATCTTTGAGGTTGGGATATTAAGTAATTTTAGGAGTCAAAGAAGCCATTTCTCAATTTAGTACAATCAATACGACTGCTGTTTACATAAGTCCTCATTATAATTTTAAAGATTCTTCTTTATTGATTACACCTTTTATTGGTATTTCTTATGATTTAACAGATAACGTTAAACTTAATAAAACATATTACACAAACTAATAGGCAATATGGTATCAGATACATACATTATTAAGTACAACTAATTCATATGATTTTAGATGGGCAGTATTATACCCAACAAATCCATAAGCCAGCATGGCTCAAGTATTAATTTACAACCATTTATACAGCATTAGAATGTAGAACTCTAAGAATTACATAGATGAAAGAAAAACAAGCAGATTTTAGAAATCCTTTTGAAGTTGAAATTTTAGAAACTACCCAAATATTCAATACTTAAGATACATTTTCAATAATTCTTGATAAAAGTCATGAATTAATTAACAGAAAGATTTATGCAAAAAGCTTTACAAATAAATCTATTTAAAGTTATTTAAATAAATGTAATGAATGTTTACAAAGTTAATAATATTAGTTTAAGCATAATTGCTATGGGGCTATCAATACTATTAATTTTTCAATTAAACTATTCCCAACAACTTAGGCACATTAAGAATTGATATTAAGTATTATACATTTATGAGAAAAGTGAAGTCAAACTCATAGATATCAAACAAATTGACACTTAATTATGATAATATAAATATTCATAGAAAATATTTAATTTATCATTCCTATTTAAAATCATTCACATTAGAAATAACCAAAGATTCAAGAGCAATATAAATTATTGCTTTGATTTAATCAGCAAATCTTGACCTATGAATGATGATTTTTGCCTTGGAGGATCCTACGAAAAATAAGAATGATAGAAGTAGTATAATCAAAGGGTTTGTTATAAACATAAAATTATAGATTTGTTTAAAAATCTAATAGGACATTGAAAATCTGGTTTATGATATTTATGGTTTAGGATTGTCAATGACCAGATCTTTAGACAATAAGATTAATTCTTGGAAAGGAGAAATTGAGAGGTCAGAAATTAGCCAATTTATTGTAGAGGAGTAGAATATTTTAATATTTCAGGGGAGATTGGGAATATTTGAGTATATTAAAATGACAATTGAGAATAAAGGAAAACTCAAATTTCAAAATCAAATAATAAAAATATATAAAGAGAGCAAGTCAAATTTATTCTAGCTAAAAACATAGTTTCACGAGTTATTGTTCTTATTATTTCTTTTTTAATATTAAATCAAAATTCGTATATTATGATTTTCATTTTCATTAAATACTATATATTAATAGGCTGCCGTAGAAAAATTTAAGACCGAGCTAATTTAAATTTTTTTTCTAAGTAAATTCATAGTATTAACTTTTAATATTATGGTTCTCATTTTCAAAACAATTGAATATCTAAATAACAATATTGCGATATTGTGATTTCTTTCATCTTGGGCAGTAACATAGATAGGTGTAGATTTATAAAGAGCTAAAACACTAATATAAATGATTAAGTGGTTGAAAAAGAAGAAAAATTTCTTTTTATTTCTTAAGAAAATTGTTAAAATTCTTTTATTTTCAGATTGGATTAAGATAGATGATATAAAGACACTTTTGTATAAGAATTCGATAGCATGCAAATAACAGGATGCAATCATGTTCTAGAATATAATATCTATAGTTCTTGAGTCTAATTCAAACTTATAAGAATTATTATTTATTATTTAATTAAATTAGTTAGATGTAATTTATTGAGCATAATTTTTTATTCATATCACAAGAGCAAAGATATTCAAAAGTATTACTAAAGACATATGAGTCATTTAATTTTACAGTTTAATATTAAAAAGATAAATCTATTTTACTCTGTATTTATTTAATACAATTTTTCCTTTAATAATTAGCAAATAATTTCCACAGTCTAATAAAGATCCTACACATCAAATTATTTAAAATATATTGCATGTTGTGTTTATAGAAAAACGAATCCATGCTGGTTAGTTTATTTTTAACTTTATTATGGCAATAATAGATAGTCCAAATATCTCTTATTATATTATCTAAATTTGTTCGAGATAGAATTGTCTAAGAGCCAATGCATTGTAAATAGTATCTATCAATTTCATTATTAAATTTGCAGCTGTTAGGGAATCAAAAGATGGATCTAACATAAAATAAAATTATATAATTGTGTCATCAAATCACTAATTTTTGTTCTTAAATCAAGGGACAAGACTTGAGTATAATATCTTAAATGTTGACTAAAAAATAACTTTAATTCAAACTAAACTACATTAAATTAATACCATTTAACTTTGTGATATTATTTCAATTGAAATCCATTATTTAAAAAATAACCCATTTGTATAATTAACATTTAAATAAAACTAAGAAATTTTCTTTTTTATAACTCCCCAAGTTTTTATTCTCTGATTCTCACAAAATTTACAATATTTAAATTTAATTATGCTTTTGATTAGATTAATTCTTATCATAGAAGTTTTTGGATGGAGATTATACAACTCAGAGTCATTTGATTCTCTAGGTTTCGCAATTGATAAACAAAATTGTCCTAAATTACATATATTTATGGCAGGATTGCATCCATATAAATGTGTCTGTACATATTAGCTTTATTAATAGCTTATGCTTTTATTTGTAAAGGTGTTACAGAAGTATAAGTAAAAACTGGAGAAGATGGAACTTAACATTAATGTCATCCCAAATTTTAACCTTGGGGAGCAGGGACTCCAACCCTAGATGCATATATGGTTCATTGTGGATTTCATGTTGGCGTTTCGTTAGTAATCGAATAGCTACCTGATGAAAGTTATAAATATTATTGCAAATGTAGGTTTAAATGCCTATTATTTTAGATTTCGCAGATAATTCACATAATAAATGTTTGATTACAGCCTATCAGAAAGGTTTATTTCGATGCTAGATGTGTAAACTTCCATTTTTTGGAAATGGTTTTGGTTGTGATTAAGTTATACCGCGCTACGATATAAGATATCCAAAATTTAGATTTTATAATACAAAGGGAATGCTATTATTCAATCGTTTATGGTGTTGTAATTAAATGGTAAGCAATAGATGATGAAAGAATTTAAGTTATAAATGAGTTTAACATGATTTCATTCGAAAATAAAACATATTCTCACATTAACCCTAATGTAGAAGAAGCTTTCATCTCTTTGATTAATTTTTCCTACAAATGTTCTATTTACTTCGATATTTTGGTATTTATTTAGAGATATTAATTTAGATTTCTGAATTAACAAAATCAAATGTATCTGTTGTAATAACTAATCAAAACAATAAATTATAAAATCTTTGAGGTTGGGATATTAAGTAATTTTAGGAGTCAAAGAAGCCATTTCTCAATTTAGTACAATCAATACGACTGCTGTTTACATAAGTCCTCATTATAATTTTAAAGATTCTTCTTTATTGATTACACCTTTTATTGGTATTTCTTATGATTTAACAGATAACGTTAAACTTAATAAAACATATTACACAAACTAATAGGCAATATGGTATCAGATACATACATTATTAAGTACAACTAATTCATATGATTTTAGATGGGCAGTATTATACCCAACAAATCCATAAGCCAGCATGGCTCAAGTATTAATTTACAACCATTTATACAGCATTAGAATGTAGAACTCTAAGAATTACATAGATGAAAGAAAAACAAGCAGATTTTAGAAATCCTTTTGAAGTTGAAATTTTAGAAACTACCCAAATATTCAATACTTAAGATACATTTTCAATAATTCTTGATAAAAGTCATGAATTAATTAACAGAAAGATTTATGCAAAAAGCTTTACAAATAAATCTATTTAAAGTTATTTAAATAAATGTAATGAATGTTTACAAAGTTAATAATATTAGTTTAAGCATAATTGCTATGGGGCTATCAATACTATTAATTTTTCAATTAAACTATTCCCAACAACTTAGGCACATTAAGAATTGATATTAAGTATTATACATTTATGAGAAAAGTGAAGTCAAACTCATAGATATCAAACAAATTGACACTTAATTATGATAATATAAATATTCATAGAAAATATTTAATTTATCATTCCTATTTAAAATCATTCACATTAGAAATAACCAAAGATTCAAGAGCAATATAAATTATTGCTTTGATTTAATCAGCAAATCTTGACCTATGAATGATGATTTTTGCCTTGGAGGATCCTACGAAAAATAAGAATGATAGAAGTAGTATAATCAAAGGGTTTGTTATAAACATAAAATTATAGATTTGTTTAAAAATCTAATAGGACATTGAAAATCTGGTTTATGATATTTATGGTTTAGGATTGTCAATGACCAGATCTTTAGACAATAAGATTAATTCTTGGAAAGGAGAAATTGAGAGGTCAGAAATTAGCCAATTTATTGTAGAGGAGTAGAATATTTTAATATTTCAGGGGAGATTGGGAATATTTGAGTATATTAAAATGACAATTGAGAATAAAGGAAAACTCAAATTTCAAAATCAAATAATAAAAATATATAAAGAGAGCAAGTCAAATTTATTCTAGCTAAAAACATAGTTTCACGAGTTATTGTTCTTATTATTTCTTTTTTAATATTAAATCAAAATTCGTATATTATGATTTTCATTTTCATTAAATACTATATATTAATAGGCTGCCGTAGAAAAATTTAAGACCGAGCTAATTTAAATTTTTTTTCTAAGTAAATTCATAGTATTAACTTTTAATATTATGGTTCTCATTTTCAAAACAATTGAATATCTAAATAACAATATTGCGATATTGTGATTTCTTTCATCTTGGGCAGTAACATAGATAGGTGTAGATTTATAAAGAGCTAAAACACTAATATAAATGATTAAGTGGTTGAAAAAGAAGAAAAATTTCTTTTTATTTCTTAAGAAAATTGTTAAAATTCTTTTATTTTCAGATTGGATTAAGATAGATGATATAAAGACACTTTTGTATAAGAATTCGATAGCATGCAAATAACAGGATGCAATCATGTTCTAGAATATAATATCTATAGTTCTTGAGTCTAATTCAAACTTATAAGAATTATTATTTATTATTTAATTAAATTAGTTAGATGTAATTTATTGAGCATAATTTTTTATTCATATCACAAGAGCAAAGATATTCAAAAGTATTACTAAAGACATATGAGTCATTTAATTTTACAGTTTAATATTAAAAAGATAAATCTATTTTACTCTGTATTTATTTAATACAATTTTTCCTTTAATAATTAGCAAATAATTTCCACAGTCTAATAAAGATCCTACACATCAAATTATTTAAAATATATTGCATGTTGTGTTTATAGAAAAACGAATCCATGCTGGTTAGTTTATTTTTAACTTTATTATGGCAATAATAGATAGTCCAAATATCTCTTATTATATTATCTAAATTTGTTCGAGATAGAATTGTCTAAGAGCCAATGCATTGTAAATAGTATCTATCAATTTCATTATTAAATTTGCAGCTGTTAGGGAATCAAAAGATGGATCTAACATAAAATAAAATTATATAATTGTGTCATCAAATCACTAATTTTTGTTCTTAAATCAAGGGACAAGACTTGAGTATAATATCTTAAATGTTGACTAAAAAATAACTTTAATTCAAACTAAACTACATTAAATTAATACCATTTAACTTTGTGATATTATTTCAATTGAAATCCATTATTTAAAAAATAACCCATTTGTATAATTAACATTTAAATAAAACTAAGAAATTTTCTTTTTTATAACTCCCCAAGTTTTTATTCTCTGATTCTCACAAAATTTACAATATTTAAATTTAATTATGCTTTTGATTAGATTAATTCTTATCATAGAAGTTTTTGGATGGAGATTATAC